TGCTGTTGGTACAAATCTGGAAACAAACTATGGCCAGGCATGGGTCGCATGCCCATTCCAAACTTATGGCCAGGAAATGCAGTGATTCCAATTGGATCTGATGCTATATAGTCCAGAAGGTGAGCTCTCAATCAAAATACATGCTTGGAATGAAGGAAGAAACATTCCTAAAAGAAGATGAATATAGAAATAGAGAAAGGATTTGAGGGGGTGGGGAAGACAACAATAAATTATCTTTACAGGGTACTTGTTAAATGCTGTGTACATCCATTAGTGCATAGTAGGGACATAATAAATGCTACTTGAATTTAAAACTGAGGATTCCTCAGCAAAGTTGATTTGGATTTTACTGTAGTATTGTAGCTCAGTGTTTGCTGCAAGATCTTCACTTTATACCTTAGTTCAAGTAAGGTATCTTTTATACTAGTGTCAAACTCAGTCTTGTATTCCTCTGTAGGTCTTGATTGTTGCTTACTAACTTGATATTAGATGACAGAGGTTATGTTAAAAGTTGATACCTAAGCAAAAGCATAAAACCACTATATACTTTTGTTGTTTACTCTTAAGCAAGCATTTCCTCAGTGGAATGGGCAAGGATATTTCATTACATGTGATAGAATCCACCTAAAATTAACTTTGAAGTTTATTAGAACTTTATTGTTCCTAATTTTTTGTTTTAATATTTCTTAGAACTGTTTTAGAAGTCATATGAATGTGTATCTGAGTATAAGTGTCACCAAGACCTCTTAATTACTCTTTACTAAAGGTTAAATCCTGTTGATATCTTTAAGGTCCCTTGAGTTTTTTCTTTACCACATCATCTAATTTAACTAGTTTAGGCTCTAATTATACTACACGTGAATGATAGCAGTGGGTTTCAACCCAGCTCTCTCTGGCAAACTAAATCTTCCCCTGACTGCCGAAGTCCATCTTGAACGTTTTGTTACGTGTATTATCTTCCCTAAGCTATTCCAGTGTCAGTCACTGCTCAACAGTTACTCTGAAATATGGAGTCAAAAGTAGAGTATAACACTTTCTACTAGAAACTAAGTAAAACTAGAGAAGGTAGGTAAAAATACAAGGTCTTACTTATTTTAGTTACTACAGTTGCCTTCTACTCTAATCAGGGTAACCTGTGCATTTTTGTTTCTGTATGTGTGCAGTAATTATTTCCTCTGACTTGAGTGACTTAATTTTTTTTAATGTTTTATTTACCTCTGAGAGAGAGAGAGAGAGACAGCGTGAGCAGGGGAGGGTCAGACAGAGAGGGAGACCCAGAATCCGAAGCAGGCTCCAGGCTCTGAGCTAGCTGTCAGCACAGAGCCCGATGCAGGGCTTGAACCCACGAACTGTGAGAAAATGACCTGAGCCAAAGTCAGACGCTCAACTGACTGAGCCACCCAGGCACCCCTTGAGTGACTTTTCTTTATCTGCCAGTTCTGTTACTGTTTCTTCATATTCTATCGACTCTCCTCCAAATGTATTGTGATCAACCACTCTTTGCTCTGTTCTCTGTTTAGTCAATATTAGAAGTGTTGCTAAATTTTTCTTAGAGAAATGAAAAATGAGTCACTTTTTTTTTTTAGGGAACTTTTTATTGCTTTTATGTACAGAAGACTCAAAAGTATACATTTAGTCCAGCTTGGTGGACAGTTGTTTAGCTTTTGTCTTTTCTAGCTTGGCAGTGTGAGCCACTGACATTGCCTCTAGGATGTTGCCTCCCCAGTGATGGCAGATCTCATCATCTCTGTCATGGTAGTTGGTCCTGATAGCTTCCACCAGCTTAGCCAGAGTTCCTTTGTCTTCCAGGTTAACCTAAGCGTGAAGGTGACAGTGGTGCAGGTCATTCTGTGGACCAGGTGGCCCAGTCTGGCCTTCCACTTGATAATGCAGTATAATTTCACAACACAGGACAGCCAGGAAGACAACCAGCTCAGTGGGATCCCCACAGCATGTGCAATCATTGTGTGCTGAGTCTTCTTGTTTTCCTTTAAGGTGGTGACAGTCTTAACCCCCGCTGGAAGGACAGACATCCTCTTAATGGGGACATCCCCTTTGTCAGCAGCTTTCTTTTCAGCCTGGGCCAACAGTCTCTGCTGCTTCTTTCTTCATCTTTGGTCTGTATTTGTGGGCCAGCTAAAGCAGTTAAGTAGCTGTTTGGTGGTCCAAGGCCTGGGTGAACTCATTAACCCCATGAGGCTCTTTCAGACATTTATAGAGAATAGCCCTTTGCTGCTGCAGTCGGACGTAGTGGGACCATTTGACAAAGCAGATGGGGGTTCCTTTAGGGCTAGATACCCTGTCCAGTACCAAAATTCTTGAGCCTTTTCTCAAATAGCAGGGGTTGACCACCTTCTTGGCTTTTGGCATCTTGGATGGCTGGAAGAGAGCTCAAGTGAATCATACTTCTTAAGTGCTTAGTTAGGAAGAAAAATTCTTGACCTAACCATGGAAATGAAACATTTCACATTCCTGATAGTGATTTTAAAAATTCCATGCAGTTAGTATGTCACCTATCCTTTTGACATATAACTGACCTAAATATCAAGATGTTAGTGATAAGCTTTATTAGAGATAATAATCAAGCTTTATTACCTCTCATTGTAAAGGAACTTTGCAGGTATCTTAGACTGTAAGATAAATGATTCTCAAGGTAATCTCATACCAAGAGCATCAGTATCACATGACACATATAGAAAGTGCAGATACTCAGGCCCCACCTCTGCCCTACTATAGTAGAAACTCGGATGGGGCCCAGCATTGTTTTGATAAGCCCTCAAGGTGATTCTATTACCCATGAATATGAGAGACCAAAGGTAGAGAGCCTGAGGACATTTGATTGATGACCAACCTACTTTGTATGTTCTTTTCAAAATATTAGTTAACTCACTTAAAAAATCAGACGTAATAGCAATCTATATTAGGGAAGTTTTAAAGATGAGATAGTTATGAAACAGCCTCTTCACGAGTTCTTAAATTCTGTGTAAATGTTAGTTGCAGACTTAGGCTGGAGCTTTTTTGGTGTGGTTCTTGTTCATAGTAGTGACTACCATTGTCAGACCCTCTAATTTGTGGTACAGAATGAGTTTATGGAAAATATGAGCTGGGATTAGGTCTAGGTATTATAGAAAAGTCTCTCAGGGCCTGAGGTTTCTTTATGCTTGGTTTTACTTATAAATAAAGGTAGTAAACACTCCCACTGGTACTTTTAAAGATCTGTTGAGATTGCATAATATTCTTCCTCTGCTTTTGTTCTGAAGAGAGATAGAATAAGATAGTGGAATCAAAGCACTTAATCACAAACGCACATAGAAGACACTTTAGGGCAGCTGTTTGTTATTACTGTGTATACAATCAACCTTTTCTGTATCTTTCTCTTATTCTACTTTCTTGATTTTGAAGTTCTGTTTTAGTTCTTAAATCCTGATTTTCTAATTCCAAATTTCTGTGCTGTACCAAGTCCTTGGTACATGGACCAGATCTCTGCATGGATTAAATGCTTGAACACATCAAGCACTGTTTGCATTATTCACTTTGAGAATCACAGTAGGAGATGTCAGTTAAGTGTGCCAGCTGGTCATTCAGCTGGAGTGGTAGTACTTTACCCATTACAGTTCTACTTTTCAGGTTGTGGCTGTTGCAAGTCACCAAGGTTCTCAGAATTGATTTCTCTTAGAAACAGATTCACAGATTAATATATAATAACTCAAATATCCATTTAGAATGAAATACAAGTGTTAAAAAGCATTTTCTTCCTACCTCTTTCTATAAGAACATTTTTTCAAATTATAAGCATTAGTTGCTTCCGGCACACAAATTCTGAGTGATGGGAATTAAATGTATGATCTAAGCACTTAGTGTCATCAGGTTATATCATCCAATCTGATGTACCCATCTCTATTGGAACATTGTATTTATTAACACATGGGCGACTTGTTTCTGTCCAGTGAATAATGTTCTAAGACTTCTGGAGACATAAAAAGCATGTTTTGTTTCATGATTACCCTTCTTGTAGGTTCTAACTGCCTGTTAAATTCTTCTCAGAGAAGTAGGGGAGGAGGGAGAGGAGGAGTTGTAGAAAGAGGGTGTGCTTGAATCTGTGTGTAATATGTTCAGGTGATTTGGATTACATTTTCTTTTTATAGTCAAAATGTTCTCCTATTTCTCAGATACTTTAGGTCACTTGATTACTGATTATTAGAGTACCTTCTATAGAAAACTTGATTTCATTTCATTGGATATGGTTATTTCTTCATTTCACCCTTAGGAGTTATGTTTTTTATGGGAATTAGGAGTGACCCCTGAAGAGTATAGACTTTTGGAATTAGACTTGAAATCTGGCTCTACTCTTTGTAATCTGTATCATTTTGGGGGAAATTGCTTAATCTGTCAGCCTCGGTGTCTCAGCTGTTCAGATGGGGATAATGTAACAGTTTTGTAAAATAGATGGCAAGGATTGCATGACATAATTTTATATATGATTATACGTAACCCTAGAAAAGAATGTATGGCTAATGTAATCCAGTATTATCTTTGTATTATCATTACTGTTTCTTTTAATGTGTTTGGGCTGGAATGTGAGTCACCTACTTTACGTGGTTTGTTAATTTCATTTATTGTCTCTTTTCTAATTATTCTATTTTTGGACTCCCAAATTATGTATGGTACTCTTAAGTGTGAGCATCTATACATAGTGTTAACTGTCAGCGTACATTTATTGAATTGACTGCACAGAAGAACAGTTCTAAACCAATGTTACTTTTTATTATACTTAAAGGTGTTATTGTTAGCAATTAGAATTGGTCAGTCTCTTAGAGAAATTCTTGAAAGACTAGGATTTTCCTAGGTTTCAGAATTATTTTGGCTTACCTTGTATGATTTAGGTATTCTTGATACAGATCTAAAAGTATTCTGTGTGGAATTAAGGCTGTAGATTTGTGAATTACAGGGAAATGAAATAATCACTTATTCAGAAATTAACTTCTATTTGGTCTGTTTAGGAAGGAGACATGCCAATTCATGAACTTCTCAGTCTTTATGGTTATGATAGTACTATTCGACTACCTGAAGAAGATGAGGAGGAGGAGGAAGAGGAAGAAGAAGGTGAAGATGATGAAGATGCTGATAACGATGATAACAGTGGCTGTAGTGGGGAAAATAAAGTAAGGTCATACACCGAAGTTTTAAGATTGTAGTCTTTATTCTTCTATACCAGTAATTTATTAATACTGGGAGTCACCTGTAATCTACTCCTGAGGAAGTAATAGTTTTATCTGTGTCATTCTTTTCAGTGTCTCTTGTAAGTAAATTTGTACTAACTTAAAAATACTGTTTTCAAGTAATAAAGGCTAATTGGTAGTTTTGTATTCAGTTTTCTTATTTTGTTTTAAAATAATTTGATTTATAGAGAAGCTCAAAGATAGTATAGAGAGTTCCTATATAGTTTTCACTCGACTTCCCCTGTTTATATCTCATATAACCATGATATATTATCAAAAGTAAGAAATTGACACTGGTACTATACTATTAATTAAACTGTAGACAATTCGGATTTTGCCAGTTTTTCCACTAATGTCCTATTTTCTGTTCCAGGATCCAACCCAGAATACCATAGTGGAGTTAGTATATTTATTTTAGTCTTCTAGGTATATTTGGAGTACTGTAATCTTTTATCTGCAACAGTTTTTCTTATGTCTTAAGGAAATTTAATTTTTTTTATTCTACAGGAAGAGAATATAAAGGACTCATCAGGTCAAGAGGATGAAACTCAGTCTTCCAATGATGACCCGACACAATCTGTTGCTTCTCAAGATGCCCAGGAAATAATCCGGCCTCGTCGATGTAAATATTTTGATACAAGTAAGTATCATTGGTTGCTGTTGTTTAGATCATTTTTACTGTTTACTCTTGAAATCTCGCTGAACGATAATAGGTTTTGTTCTAGGCTATTAGCTTAGCAGTTCTAGGGCCCCGTTGTCCATGAGTAGATTGCAGTAATAGTTGCATCACTGTACTACTTGATTTTGAATGTGTTCCTCCCCTCCCCCCCCAGTGAATTCAGTTTGTTACATGGTCATCATTTTTTTTTTAATTTCTCCTGTATTTTCCTCGGCTGTCATTTTCTATTTCCTTGGCCTTTTAGCCTTTTTTAGCTGTATTCAGAAGTATTGCCTTCTCTAATCAGTGGTTCCCAGTTCTAAAGAAGTGGTTTACTCTTGAGGTGATAATGTTATACACAGAGAAAACTCTCTTAATTTTACTTAAATGTACAGTTGCTATCTAGTCAGAGAGACCAGTAGTCGAGACAACATTTAATGTATGTATCTTGAATATTTGCATGCTTCATTTGCTCCATGGTATTTCATCCTAAGCAGGAATCATTACTGTAGATGAAATCTCTTTGATAAGAAAAAGACAACCACTAGTGTTATTTAAACTTGTGGTCTAAATTTCTGTGCTTTAAAAGACAGAAAAACACTCAACAGCCACCTGTCATGAAATGTGTGGTAATGTAATAACTGATTAAACATGGCTACTGCTTCATGTGGAGGATTCCTTTTACATACTTAGTTTGGATGTGAATGTAATGCTGCTAATATTTTATTGTGAGTTTGGATCAAAGATCTGGTCCAATTGAAAAGAAAGTATCAATGTAAAAAGAGATTGGTTACTGAAATTATTGTGTTAGTTTTTAAGTTTGGGGAAAATCTGGTGTTTTTCCTTTTCTTAGATAAGTTGCCAAAGTTTGGATAAAAGTGGGATATAAGTGACTGCATCCTAAAATAATATTTATTTCATACTTCTGATCTGGTATTTCAGTTGTGATGCATGGAAGCTATGTATATATACTGCCTATCTTAGCTTTTCCATAGGAAGATTTAATTTCTGAATGTAATTTACCTTTTTGAACTTTATATGATGCCATTTTACAGTTGGGAAGATGCTGAAAAATGTAATAGTTTTTAGATTTCCTGTCCCTTTATATAAACACATTTTTACTCCAAAATGTAAACAGACAGCAGCTTGCCTGCTCTCAATAAAATGGAGGTTGAGGAGAATGGAGGTCTTCATACATAGCCTCCCTTCACACTCCCCACAAAGTGCTGCTGAAAAGTTCTCAGTATCTCAAGGAGCTCTGATTGGAAACTACTGTTTTTGTTCTGTCCACATTCTCACTTTATTAGGGAAGAAATTGAGCTCCTATAATTCTGTATGGTTCTGTCACCAGACAGAATTGGGTTCAGGAACAGATAATCTTGACTCTAATTAAATTTTTTTTTCTTATATTTTTGTAGGAAATCATTGCCTAAGGATACAGTTTTCTAAGATTGGAATTGTCATAGAAGGTTTATGGGTTGTTTTGCTGTTTTAAACTGATAGGGTATTATTTGATTAGAAGTATGTTGGCCCTATTCTGCAAGTACTTTTAGGCATACTTAAATGTTTGATGGTAGGTATAAAACTAATATACAGATATGCAGATGTGGACAGGAAAAACAATCAATTTAGGATATTGTCTTATTTATTCTAGATAGTGAAATAGAAGAAGAATCTGAAGAAGATGAGGATTATATTCCATCAGAAGACTGGAAAAAGGTAGTTAGAGCCATATTTTCCCAAAATTTAGGTAAATTAACTTTAAAAAACAATTATTATTTTACTAGCTATGTATATTGATAAAGTTGAGGTAAGCCCTTTTTTAAATGTTTGGTAGATGTTTAGATTTCTCTTCAGTATATCAAAGTAAGAATACTTATTTTTTTATAAAATAAAATAATGGCATAGAAAGAATTGGACTTTATTTTGAGCAAATCAGTCCCAAACCAAGAACAGATATTGCAATTTCGAACTAGCACCAATTCAGATCTTTTTGCACTGTAAAACGTATCACAAGTGAATGTTTTCTTATACTTGGGAAAGCAATTGAGGCTTTGGTTTTTTAAAGTAGCTTTTGTTTAATAATTTAAATTATAAGTTTTTCCATCCCATATTAATGTTGATATTTACAACTCAAAGTATATTGGGTGAAGGGACAGATTTGAGCTTCTCTATAACTACTCATAATAAGTTAATTTTTAAAATGAATCTAAAGATTATATATTGACCTAAGTTTTTAATTATAAAATTATAAACCGTACAACTTAATTTTACAGATAAGTAGTAGAATTAAATTTAAGCTGTTGCAAAGCAGTTGAACTTACTAGGAAAATGTGTCAAAATGTCCTGTAGAATTGATTAGAGCAAATCATTTATATAGAAGAATGATATTCTTTGTATTTTTTTTAATGTTTATTATTTTGAGAGAGAAGACAGCAAGCAGGGTAGGGGCAGAGAGAGAGAGACACAGATCTGAAGCAGGCTCCTGGCTCTGAGCTATCGGCACAGAGCCCAGTGCAGAGCTCGAACTCAAACCGTGAGATCATGACCTGAGCCAGAGTTGTCTGCTTAACTGACTGAGCCACCCAGGCGCCCCTCATTCTATTTTTTTTTAATGTTTATTTTAGAGAGAGAGAGAGCAAGTGCATGCAGCAGGGAGGGGCAGAGAGTGGGACAGAGGGAATCCCAAGCAGCTTTCAGTACAGAAACATGGGGTTCATTCTTCTGAACTGTGAGATCATGACGTGAGCCAGAATCAAGAGTTGGATGCTCAACCAACTGAGCTGAGGTGCCCCTAAGTGATGTCACTCTTCATTGAGACAGATCACTCAGTTTTGCTCTTAAAAACTACATTGAGCGTTTTTGGTGGTTTTTCTTTTTCCCCTAGGACCGGTTTCAGATTTCAGTGCATAAACAATCATAAACATTTATTTCTTTGGAAGCAGAGTAGCTCTAAACATCAAAATTAGTGGACTAGCTATACTTTTTAAGTCATGATTTTTTAATTATTAATAGCTTTGAGTCTTCTCTGTGGGTTTTTTGTTAATTTTTTTAAGTTGGTTTAAAGTTTTTTGGTTTGGGATACCTGCGGCAGACTCAAGAGAGAGCTGACACCCTTGCTGATTAAAATAAGAGACCATCTTATATTTAAAAGAGTTTCTGTTAGGAAGAATGAAGTATTCAAATGAACTTGGAGTGGGCTTCCAAGTATTGTGGGTTTCAGACACAATTGGTCCATTTCTGGGATTCCAAAGCTGCTTAGAAGACAGAGTGATATCAGTGTGAGTTAGAATGGCAAGGGAAGGTTAGCTCACTGCAATATGTATTAATTTGAGTGAATGATGAATGAAATATGGGGCTGAAGACAGAAAACAAGGATCACAAAAGCTGCTTACTATTTATGTGACCTATTTGGGCACATGTTCTTCAATCCAGTTTTTTCTGATTCCTACACTATGTAGAAATTATGATGAAAACTAAAAACCTTGGAAGTAACCTTAAGCTGTTACGTTCTACCATATATTCAAATTTATATCTCTTTTCTCCAACTTGAATTGTTTTTCTGTCTGAAGTATACAGTAGAATATTTACGTGTTGAATTATTATTTTATTTTTAGTGAAGAAACAAAAGCACAGAAGAGGGACAACATGGGGGAGTATTCTCTTTCTCAGGAAATTATGTAATAAAACAGGCCACAGTAAACCCAGACTGCTTTATTACAGTATGATTTTGTTGTAGCAAAAATTGTCAAGATTCTGAATCCTCTTCTAAGGCTTGTGAGACACTAAATTTTTCTAAAGATTGGGACAGAGGAGACAGCTTTGAAATCAAATTTGAGTCCAAGTTACAGCCCCAGAACTTACTAATAGTGCATTCCTGAGGAACTTCATTGTTTTGAGTTTCATCTCACATACAATACAGAAATAAAAATTTTGGCCTTGTTTAAATTGGTAAGAATTTAATGAAAATCATACAGGATTTAATAAAAATTACACATAAGGTACTTGGTACATAACGCTCCTAAGTGCTATTTTCCTCCCCTCCCCTCCCCTCCAGAACAGATTACCATGTAAAAAGGTGTTCTGAACTCAATAGGAAAAAGAGGGCATCTTATTTTTACACTAGTCCAGAAGCTCTCGAACCTGGCTCCATGTTAGAATCATTTGGAGAACTTTTAAATACTGATTGCCAGGACCTTTGTCCAGAGATTCTAATTTAATTGGTCTGGAATGGATCCTGGCATTGATATTTTTAGAAGTGCCTTAGACAGGAAGGGTTGATAACTTGACTTTCTATTTTCTGGTAAGCATTGATGAGTAAAGTTAACAGAGGCACAAGAAGTGATAGTAGGATACTCTTTTTTTTTTTTTTTTTTTTTATAATGAAAAGACCTAAAAGTTCACCTACAAGAGTAAATTTGTATGTGAATTCTTTTTAGAAAATCAACTGGTTTTCCTATACAGGTTTAGCAATAAATTAATTACATAGAGTATGTCTTTGAAGTTATACTAGAAAAAATGAGATTCTGATCTCAATGGGTTGACAATAAGAGGAATTTTTCAAATCCTAAGAGTTATTTCAACTGGCAAACTGTCACCTTAAACGTGTACCGTTCCTGCCTACATCTTCATTTTGAAAGTGCAGTAAATTCAGTCTTAACATTTAGCCACCAGATAAAGGAGGCTCTTATAAACTTGGTCCCTCTGTTTTGTAATACCCCATCAGCAGTGATCTCCAGTTATCTTTCTGAATAGCCAGTTTCCCCTCATCTGTGATTTTACATAGATCTGATGACTAAATTTCCTAATATTAGATTTAATTATGTTTTGGGGAGGTTACTTTTTTGTTTCGTGTTGTTTTGTGAAAAGCACTAACCTGCTTATCCATGTGGCCTTTCATCCATTTGATCCCTACAGAGCTTTATACAAACCCTTTTTTCTTTACCTTAAATCTGTGGTTCTCAGAGTGTGTGTCAGAATCACCAGGACAGCTTGTTAAGACATTACTTGCTGAGTCCCATCCCCAGAGTTCAGTAGGTCTCAGGTAGAGGAGATGAGTATTTGCATGCCTAACAGTTTCCCAGGTGACTCTGATGATACTGATCCAGGGACCATAGTTTGGAATGTAAATACTTTAATATACCTAATTTGTTTTTCTGTTTTTCAGAGTGTTTGCAATTTGAATTATAAGAACTCGTTTTTACTTTTTTTCTCCATATTTTGAAGTAGTTGTATTCACTGTATATATTGCATTACATCCCATTATTATTACTAATATTTTCATCCAATCATATCCAAGCTCTTATCTATTATTAACTCATTCATCCTCACAATACTCCTCTGAGGTAGTTAATTGGTTGTATCTTTTATGACAGAGAAGCCATGAATAGTTTACCCAGGAAGATGGTAAAGCTAGAAAATGGATATAAAATTCTTGTGTTACTAGATCTTACTAATGTGTTATGTTATTTCTAACATAGGAGATTATGGTGGGCTCCATGTTTCAAGCAGAGATTCCAGTTGGCATTTGTAGATACAAAGAAAATGAAAAAGGTGGGTTAACTGGTAAAGTTACATAGCTTGAATTCATGCTTTTGAGAACTTATTTTATAATGGAATGGGACCAGGACAGTTTGTTACCCCATTGATTTATGAAAGAAGACCCTTCATTATCTCTGTAAGAAGAAAATGTTTCCTGTTTTTCCAGTTTCGTCCATAGAAATCTAACAAGAAAAAATTGAATGCCTTTTTGATACTGAGTGACTTAAAACATCTCAACTTTTTATTTCTTTTTTTTCATATTTTAAATTCCCTGAATATATTCTTTATAACTTGTATAATTTAAATATAAAAGGTTTTATGTCAGTGGAAGCTGTAAGGTTTAAAAATACTCAAGTACATAATGACCTAAAAAGCATACCTTAAGCTTTGAAACTTTTAATATTACTAAAATTGAGGACCTTGATATTTATTTGTAAAATAATTTGGGGAAAAAAACTTGTATACTTAAATTTTACATGATTTTTTCCATCATGTTATATAAAAAGTCTAAGTCATAAATACTTAAACTTCCAGTAACATAAAATACTGGAGGTCTTAAGTCTGTTTTAGATTATTTGGTTGGGGTAAGTTCCAGAAGGAATGTTGTGGGTGTCTTTTTAATGAGTTCATGTGTTGTATGACATCACTTAGTGCTAGAAATCTTTATTCATTTCTTTTATTTCAGTTGTTGTCTTCACATTTCAGCTTACATATGCAGAGTCTTTTGGAGCTGCAGAAGACTTTTGTTTTTTTTCCTTTTAGTGTTCTCTCCAGAAACTTCCTTTATAATGCACTTGCTTTCAGGGCAAATATTAGGTAGAAGGCAGCTAAGGGAACATCACAGGCCAGTAAATTCTAGGGACAGCAAAAATGTTTTAACACCAGTAATAGCTTTTACTCACTTTCAAGTTAATTCCTACAATATACAGGTACATTAAAAGTACAATATGGAGTGACCTTGTTATAAAGTAAGATTCTGTACATATGTTTTATGAATACATTGGAGTTGTGTGCAAAAATAAGTGAACAATTGGCATTTGTATTTATTTTTGTAATTGAATTTTAAAAATAATGCTTTCCTTATGTGCTCTATAATGATTAGCACATGTTCACCATTGAGTTCTTTCTTCAGCTAAAGAACTGAAAGTTAGATATTTGTTCTCATTTATTTTTTTAAGCATTGACTATGAAAAATAATAGTGTTTATCTTAGAAAATTTCATATTTTGTAGCTGGGTAGGAAAATATTTTGGTTTTATGTATGGCAGGTTAGTGTTAGGGCTTAAAGGTAGTTTTAATTAACTTTTTATGTTTTGTATTTAACATGTTTGTATTGTCAGATACCATAGCAAATAAATGATCTTTAATTTTCATTGTTTTAAATTTGGGTTCACTTAAAGCTTTCAATTTTATTGTAATTTTAGAAAGCAATTATACATAATTATTTTTTTCAGGAACAGGTATGACTTACAAATTTTACTCCCCATGAGAATTTAAGCATTATAGATGGTGTGAGGGTTAGACCAGATTTAACAAGGTGATCCTGCTTTAGAGGGGTCACTGTAGTACAGGGTCTTTCCTCAGTTTTGTATTTCTGGTTATTCAGACTTTTGTCATGTTACCCAGAATTTGTCACCACTTAGGGTACCCTGTGCACCCAAACCAAACTCATGTGAAACTTAGGTAAATTACACTGTTAGGGAAAAAACTGTCAACGGGATACTGAAGATTAGTTCATTCTTTCCTTATAGGAAAATGTTTGCAAGATATTTTTCATTGGTTTGGTTAGCACACATTCAAAAGGGAGAGAATTTTGTTGGAATGATTTTGATAAAAAATGCCACAAAACTGTGATACCTTGATACATTCACTGTAGGAATTATTTGATAAATGGATTAGAATTTTTTCATTGATATAAGAAAACCCATTACTGAGTATCCTGGAATGATATTGATCATTTTTTTTCTCTCTGATACCTGATTTCTTTTTTACTAGACTCCATGCAGCATATATATTCCTCATCAGCTATCATTTCTTTTTTTTTTCCTTTTAATTTAATGTTTATTTTTGAGAGGGCACAAATTAGGAGGGGCAGAGAGAGAGAGAGGGAGAGAGAGAATCTCACAAACCGTAGGATCATGACCTGAGCTGAAACCAAGAGTTGACGCTTAACCAGCTGAGCCACCCCGGTGCCCCCCATTCATCACTTCTGCTCCAAGTAGTTATATAAACAAGATTTGTTACAATCATGTTAAAGTTATCTTTGAACCTGTATCTATTGTTATATAATCTCAACTACACGATTAAAATTTTCTTAAATTTATGTAAATTAGTACCTATACTCAGCATAGGTTATTATAATCATTTGTTTATTAATTTTGTATCCTTAATACCTAGTATGATTCTGTTACATAGGCACTTAGTAAACATTTGGTGGCTGAGTTACTAGGTGGGTGCAGAATAACGTTAACAAAACTGATACGCATTCAGTAAAATTTGATTGCTATGTAGACATTTGGCCTTGGACATGTTTACTTCCTTTTCTCCTCCTGTATAAAATAGCTGTAAAAGAGCATTTATTTACAGAGCCTGTCATGAAGATTTACATAGGATATTTTCATGTGTAGCCTTAACAGCATATACATAGTAAGTACTCAGTGGCATTAGTATTCAATGGATGATTAATCTTATCCATTACATATAGGTTTTATTATTCAGCTTTTCAGAAAGCATCAGTTCATGCTGTTTTACTTATAATTAGTAAAGGCCCGGTTCAGTTATCTTCAGCAAAAAAGAATTTACCTTAACTGGAAAGTTCTGGGTAGCATGGCTTCAGATATAACTGGATTTGGGGGTTCTTCTATCAGTTGTCCCTCTCCTTTCCGTCTTTCCTTTATTACAAGACAGGCTAAGATGGCTACTGGGAACTGTTGCTTACACTTTACACTGTCCTTGTAGCTAGAGAACCAACATAAATGAAAACTTCCGTATCTACCTTTGCTCCAGCAGAAGTCCTAGAGAGAACCTCTGTTGACTTAGCTTGAGTCATACTCAGCCAGAAGTAATTACTGTGACCAGAGAGAAGAGTGAGTATTCTGGGTTGCCCTGGCTCATGTATCTGTTCTTGGGGCTCCAGGGTGTGATGTCAGCCTCACTCAAATGGAAAGGATTTAATTCCCGAAGAAGTGTTGTACAGATGAAAAGCATGATTTTTCAGTTATGTGTGTATTTCATTGTTTCTTCCATGTACTAAACTGAATGAACACTGCAGCTTTTGTGGTAAGACTGAAGTGAATGCCGCTAAACATCTTAGAACACAGAGGACTGCCACTGCCTTCCCCTGCTAAGAATAATCTGCCCGAAGTATCAGTATTGCCGCAATTGAGAACCCTGGACTAGGTTGATTAGAATTAGTTGGACTACTTAGGGGGAAAGGGTTAAGAGAAATGACCCAAGATATTTCCTGGTCTAATTTTCATGCTTGCATGACATGAGTTTTAGAGTAAGGAAACGACTAGGAATTTGGCGATAGTGAATAGCAAAGGACCACATAAATCTTTGTTTTTAATGAACATTTGACGTATTACTGATTCTGAAGTTACTTACTAAAAAATGTACACATGCATTATTCTTACTTGATGATAATATTGTTGAAAAGGCAGTTCATTTAGCCTGTACATAGGAAAAGCTTAGCTAGACAATTTAAAATTTATGTCATTAATCACAGTGTATCCTTTTATGAACATGGTGTAAACCTCATTATTTTACCATAGCTGATTATGGACTAGCATTTTCATCCTCATGATACATTGATTAGACTGAATTTTTATTTCAGCATTAAAAATAGAGTAACACGGGGCGCCTGGGTGGCTTAGTCGGTTAAGCGTCCGACTTTCACTTAGGTCATGATCTCGCGGTTCGTGGGTTCGAGCCCCGCGTCGGGCTCTGTGCTGACTGCCAGCTCAGAGCCTGGAGCCTGTTTCAGTCTGTGACTCCCTCTCTCTCTGACCCTCCGCTGCTCACGCTATCTCTCTCTCTCTCTCCTAGAAATAAAACATAAAAAAAAAAAAGAGTAACACTTTTTACTCTGAAAACTGAAAGTGAATAAATATAAATTTATTCATTGGGAATTAATTTCCTGGACTGAAAAAGTCTGTGGTTTTGTGGTGGTAGTTTGTGGACTTTCTACAACCCCTCCCCCCCCAACCACCACCACACACACAGTGAACTTTGTTAACTTATTCTGACAACCCATTTTGCCCATTTTATTTGAAAAGCTTAATTTGTTACTTAAAATGCCATAATAAGCACTTCCCTAGGTAACTTGAATACACTAGGTGTGTTCCTGCCTTTGGAATGCTTTCACTTACTTATAATCACATGTAAATTATATCTTCTGTAATATAAGGTGGGTATATTTGTGGTTGCTTTTTTAAAAATTCTAATATCTAGGCTTGGTAGTTCATTTAAAATGATACAGTTTCAGAAGATGCTGTTACATTTCAGTGATGTAATCTTGCAAATCTAGTATTCTTATGTCCTTTTATGTAATTATAATAAAATGTTTCTTTTTGTTATTTTATAGTTTTCATATTTATAGGTGGTGTTTTTCATCTGTATTTTAGTGTGTTTTATTGTAGTAGTGGATTTCTGATTTTCTGATCTCTTGGCATTTAGTTCTGCAACGGACATTTAACAAAAGTTAGCTGTTGTTGCCTGTTTTATTTAGATCATAGTCAAAAGTCAATATTTTATTTGGAGTGTAAACTTAAGTGAAAAATAATTTGGTCTTTTTCTGGAACCAGTAAAGGCAGTATGGTTTATTCTCTGTGGAAATGCTGATTGTTCTTATCTGTGATACTTTTTTAGTATGTTGTCATTGTATAAAATGAGGTGTTGTATTCTCAGAGTCAGCCTGTCTGGCTGTCTTGTCACAGTTCTAGGGGTCTGGCTTGTCATTTGGCACCATCTGGTGATGTTTGTGTACTCAGCTTAAATAGGATATCTCTATATCCTGTGGCTATCTGGAACTTAACAGAATGATTCCAGAAGTATCTTTCATGTCACTGTGCTTGTTTCATAGGCCCAGTATGGATGTATTTAAGTGGGAGAACCACTGGGGACTCGGGGACTCACCACTTTCCATCTTTCTTAGGGCTTCTTGTAAGGCCTTATCCATACTCCATCCATCAGTCTTAAGAATATGAAAAGTGTAGTCTTCCCCACTCCCTCCTTCAGTGAACAGAGGTTAAGCAGAGAACAAAAATCAATAGTATATCCAAATTCACGTTATCCTGACAGTTTCACAGTATTTACGATTTAGAGTTTCACTAAGATTGTACCAGCAGGCTACAGAAGGAATGAGGTTTACTAAGGAAAACTTTCTAGAGATTATCTGTGTACTTTAAAGAAGAGTATCTGTTTTGGGAAACAGAAAGGTAGAACAGTATTTTAAAGTGTATGTGTGTAGTGGGGGTGTGGAGTGAGACAAGGTAATTTATATGAAAACACACAGTGCCTGGGGCGCCTGGGTGGCTTAGTCAGTTAGGCGTCCGACTTTCACTTAGGTCATGATCTCGCGGTTCGTGGGTTCGAGCCCCGCATCGGGCTCTGTGCTGACTGCCAGCTCAGAGCCTGGAGCCTATTTCAGAGTCTGTGTCTCCCTCTCTCTCTGACCCTCCCCTGCTCACGCTTTCTCTCTCCTAGAAATAAATAAAAATATTAAAAAAAAAAAAAAAAACACAGTGCCAGGTACATAGGAGATGCTTAATTAGCTGTTAATTCCTTTCATTTTTATTTTTTTAATGTTTATTTTTGAAAGAGAGAGACACAGAGTGAATGGGGGAGGAGCAGAGAGCAAGGGAGACGCAGAATCTGAGGCTGGTTCTAGGCTCTGAGCTGTCAGCACAGAGCCCGACAGAGGGTCTCGAACTCACAAACTATGCGGTTATGACCTGAGCTGAAGTTGGATGCTTAACTGACTGAGCCACCCAGGTGCCCTACTGTTAATTCCTTTTTTTAATAACACAAGGAACTTTGACACTATCAGTTATCCTCTGTCTCTTAAATACAGAGGTTTTTTTTTTTTTAGCTGGTTCTTTCCTACTGGCATTTAAGTGATTGTCTCCTCTGTTTAAAAACCACTAAGACCAAAAACTATCTTCAATTCTACCTCCTCTCAGGCTGTACCTTAAAACCAAACTTTTCAAGAGTCCTCTACTTTATTTCTTCCTCTTCTGTTTACTCTTCAGTCCTCTCCAGTGGGGCCCCAGCTTCCATTTCTTCACAGAAACAGCTCTTAAAACTTACCCCTCCTTGTTAGTAAGTCCATCATACCTTTTTCAGTTTTCATGCTGTTCACCGAACAGCATTTGGCCATCAGTTCTAGCACTCCTTGAAGCATTTTTCCCCCCAGTAGTGATGGTGTCATATGTGTTAATTTTTCTCTCTGACTCTTCCTTAGTTTTTTTGTCTATGTTTCCATCTTCCTGTCTGTTACATTTGCACAGGGCTCTCATCTTAGGTTTTCCCCCTTTCCTTTCATCTTTTAAATTGTGATGAGGTTTCAACTTTAGTTTTACTATAATGGAAATTCTGATGAAAATGAAATGCTTTTTTTTTTAAAAAAAAAAAAAGAAAAGACTTGTTTTATGAAAATGATTTATGTTTATTATATTTTCAAGCTTCATAGAAAAATATATAAAATAAAAAATTACCCTAAACTTTACCATCAAGAAATAAGCAGTGTTAATTAATATTTGGTGAGCATTTTTTTAGACCTCTCATTTAAAAAATAATAATAATAGCTAACATCCACTGAACTTTAATATGTGCCAGAATTGTTTTAGAGTACTTTAAATCTTTACAACCCAACATGATAGTGTTGTTATCCCCATTTCACAGATGATTCAGAGAGAAGAGAAGTAACTTGTCCAAGGTCATATACACAGTACATGGTGGTAGTGATGCTGTTCAAACCAAGAGAGCTTGGACTTGGGTAAATTCAAGCTAAGTCAGCTTGGCTGTGAAAGAGTTATAAAATTGCTTGAATCACTTAGGCTATAAATATGGCCCAAGAATGAAGTTAGGCAAGTCCTAGGACCATGTTGTACCTCTCACTTCTCAACATGTTGGTTCATAAGTGTGAATAATTTGTTTAATGTTAGTGTTTTAACACAAACAAGTTTTGGCATTTTTTTTAACATTATGTTTTCCTAACTTAGTATATGAAAAAGATGATCAGCTTCTGTGGGACCCTGAGTACTTACCGGAAGATAAAGTGATTATATTTCTTAAGGATGCATCTAGACGAACAGGTGATGAGAAAGGTGTAGAAGCAATTCCTGAAGGATCTCACATAAAAGACAATGAACAGGTACATGATTAAGAAGTAACCTAACATTACAGAATGAATGGGTCATGGGGATTAAAGGTATAGCATAAGGAATATAGTCAATAATAGCATTATATGGGGACACTTGTGGTGGGCATAGCACAGTGTGTACAGTTGTCCAGTCACTATGTTGTACACCTGAAACTAATGTAACATTGTGTGCCAACCATACTTCAGTTTAAAAAAATAAATAACTTGCAGTTTTCCCCAAATAAATTATCTACATTTATAGATGTAAAAGCTGTCACGTTCAGTGTTATGATATCCACCAAAATTTCCATAATGTCATCAATAGGGAATCAGCAATAGCTAATATGTTACACACTCACATCATTAGTATAATTTCAGCTAAAATAAAAATGATATGTCATCTTCCCTATTATATATACTTTTTATTCAAAATTTTGGAGTTCCTTTGGATATCCCTGAGAGTCTGTGGATATCATCAACTTGAGAATATATATCTGGGATAATGTTTTAAGGATATGGTAGACAAGTTGCCTACAAGTGAACCTAATGACAGCAGTTCTTTTTTTTGTTTTTCCACTTTCATAAGTCAATGCTTTTCTTTTCTCATTTGTTTTAGAGTAGGAGCTGCAAAAAGCCAAAAAAAGGGTTTGTGATTTTTATAAAATAATTTTTTTATTTTTAAATTTCTGAGATATGGCTGCCCAGTTAGAGTATTTGCTTACTATTTTCTATGTATTCAGAAGTGTTTAATTACCAGGATGGAATTTGTTTTTTTATTTTTTTTTATTTTTGTTTATTTATTTTGGAGAGAGAGAAGGAGACACACAGAATCTGAAGCAGGCTCCAGGCTCTAAGCAGTCATCACAGAGCCCAACGGTGGGCTCAGACTCACAAACCATGAGATCATGACCTGAGCCAAAGTTGGACACTCAACCAACTGAGCCACCCAAGCACCCCGGAATTTGTTTTTCTTTAGTGTTCTCTGTGTTACATTCACTAGAATTACTTGTCTTCCAGAAATGATGAACACAAACACTGGATTCAGGAAAAGCTTTTACTTAAGAAATTGTAGCCTTGAATTGTTTATAGTCTGGGTCACATATTGAAGTCTTTTTGTTTTTCTAGGCGTTATACGAATTAGTTAAATGCAATTTTGACACAGAAGAAGCACTGAGAAGATTAAGATTTAATGTAAAAGCAGCTAGAGGTAAATAATAAATTTTTACTTGTTTTCATGACTTAGCAGAAATTTAGAACTTAAGATCTTCAGTCTGCATAGGTATAATAATGGTCTTTCTCAATTCAGTAAGTATTTGGTGAATAACAAATAACTTGTAACATATCAAATAACTTGTGTCTAACACCAGCATTATGGGAGATGGGATTAAGTTTGGTTCTTCTTTATGGGAAAATAAGGCCATTAAAAAACACATAATGCCTTTCAATTTCAAGGCATTTTTTAAAATACTTTTTATCTATTTATTTTGAGAGAGGGCATGCATTCATGCATGCATGCAGGAGGAGCAGAGAGAAAGGGAGAGGGCATTCCAAGCAGGCTCTGTACTGCCAGCACAGAGACCAGCACAGGGCTCAGTTACACAGACCTTGAGCTCATGACCTGAGCTGAAGTCAGGAGTTGGATGCTTAACCAGCTGAGCCACCCAGGTGCCCTTAAAGGCATTTTTAAGAAGTATTTTTTCATTTGATCTTGTGAATAGCCCTGTGAGCTATGGAGTGTGATAGTTGTTATCTTTAGTTTCAAACTGATGAGACTGAGGTCTCCGAACTGAAGTCCCTTTGCTGGCTCCCATTGTGCTTCACTAAGAACACTATATGTTATCATATAACAAATGGAAGATATTCATTCAACAAAAATGGGAAGGCCTACTAGGTTCTGAGGACATTATAAAGTCCCTGCTCTCATAGCACTTAGAACCTTGGTAGAGAAGCTGAAAAATAGTTATGAGTTCTTCCAAGGAGAATTAGAAGGTGCAATTCAAATTTATTGCAGTAGGACTTAACCTAATGTGGGGAAAGGGTGAGGCTGTTAGGGAAAGCTTTTAGAACAAAGGGGTATTTTGCTGAGATGTAAACAACTTAGGTGAAAAGGGTGAAGCAGGAAGTAAGTATAGACAAAGGGAAATAGCATTAAAGTTACAAAGAATGTAGTGAATTTAAGGAATTGAAAGGTAGCTAGTCTAGTTAGGTAATAAAGGAGAAAGTGACCCAAGTTGAAATTAGAGAATTAGGGACCAAGTCTTCCAAATTTTTATTAAATACAGAGTTTTTGTCACTTTATCTTTTGCAACCATCAGTAATAGTGCTCAGGAGTAAAACACTGCCCTTATTGTTACTAGAAACTTAACATTTTTATTTGTAACTGGTTATATGCAGTATTTGGGGGAATATTGCTTTAACAGTTTTCCCACCCATTTTGTCAGAGGAATTATCTGTTTGGACAGAAGAAGAGTGTAGAAATTTTGAACAAGGGCTGAAGGCCTATGGAAAGGATTTTCATTTGATTCAGGCTAATAAAGTAAGTAATGATCTATGTTCTCTTTATACAAAGCTATTTAGTTAACCCAGATCATCTTAAAGCAATTATTTTCTAATATTAAAGGTTCTATAAAGTACGTTTTACTATGTTAGTTTTTGGGAATTATAAGCATGCCTAGACTTTCTGGCATATATTTACTAAGTGACTGTTTTCAGTACATGATGTTAGACGACTTTAAGAATTGGACTGATTTACAAATATGTTTATCAACCTCTGGGTAGGATATGTGTATATAATGTAATTATTTAAAGCTATTTTCCATAAACTTGTGACAGATTGTCTTAAAGGAGGGTTTTTAAGTTAATTTTGAAAGTTCAAAACATTTCTAGCATGACATTATTTATAATTAAAACATTTTTGCATTTAAGTCCTGAGTGTCTAAAATCAGAAACTTAATATTTAATATGGTGTTAATTAGATTTAATCTTCTAGAAGAATATCTCAATAAATCAGCTTTTTTGTACATTATAATTTGATAATTGTATTTAACACTCATTTATCATTCCATATTGATAATATCGACTATACAGTGTCAGTGTATACCCAAAAGAACTGCATAATTACTTGCATTGTTTGGGAAATAAGGATATGCAAAATTAAAATCTCAAGAGTTGAACTGGAAGCCAGTAAGGAATTTCTAGACTTATATAAATATCACATTTTTAGCAAATAGAAATGGCAAGGACCTTGGCATTACATATTTCCTTAAAGATAGCATCTAAGTTTTGTGTGATGGCTTGTCTAGGATGATGTTGAAAGTATCTGGGTTTACATGGGCTTAATTTATGTCTGAGTTCTAAGTAGTCTGTCACCACATTCTTCTTACATCTCTGAATGTGACTGGATAGAGTTTACTTAATTTGTTTTACTCTATATTTAACAGTATATTTTATGTTCTATAAAGAGTTGCTTATAAGTCTGAATTTTTCTTAATTTTATTGTGCAAAACTAGCTTACTCTTGATTATCTTGTTACATTTTGGCATTTGACATCAGATATAAAACTACTAATAAAAGAGAAATTTTGAGTCATAGCATTGGTGTCAAAAATGTATCCTACCTCTTAATGTTGTGTCCAAATGGACTGATTACCTCCAGCACAGGCCATATTCTATGAAAGGAGTGCATTATGCTAATGTGACTAGATATATATGTTTATGACTGTAAAAAATATATACATTGTTTCATGATTGAATGGGACATTTTTGGATATGAGTTTTCCAGCATTGCTGCTTAGATTGAAACCAAACCATGCTGTATTACCTATGGAGGGGACCCCTGGAGTGGCAAGCTGGTATAATAACCAGCAGCAGCAGCAGCAGCAGCCCTCCAGAAATCCCTCTTTTAAGAAGTAAGAACCTATTAGGTGACTATAAACTACTAGTCAATAAAGCCTCTAATATAATATTGAAAATAAGACCTTGATTTCTTTGTTTTGGATAGTGATATTTCAGTGTTCCAGAAGTCAGCTGACCTATCTATACCTAATATACTATAGTGAACAAAAAAGAGGACAGTAATTCTTTAAGAAGGAAAAGAAAACATTAAGTAAAACAGTGAAAACATTAAGACTTTGTTTTTATACCTGAAATTGAAGTTTGCATCTTAATCATAAGTTCTGTGTAGGGTTAGTTTATTGAAGATTTTTCAGAATATTAACTTTGCATGCCCCAAAATACCTTTTCAGTCTTTGCTTTCAGAAAAGTACAGTTGACTTGGCTGATACCTGTATAGAAATAAGGATTCTAAAGGAGACATAAAAAAAAAAAAAAACACCTTGAGAAGATGATAAAAACAAAATCAAAATACCTTGATATCTTTCAGTCTTAGAGAAGCATGGGCTAAACTTGTAAAGTGCAAGCATTTGGGGAAGAAAGAAAAATACATCGAGTAGTGAAATGAGGATGTCATCAAATTGACTTTAGGTGCAGTCAGTCCTACAGGATACTTACTTCAAGATTAGACATTTATAGGTTAAAGCAATATGTCTTGCATCTCAACACTTATGCAGAAACCTTTTTTTTTTATTTTAAACTCCTAGTATTTTATTATATACATCAACCTTAGCTTTCCAAGCTAACTAAGCATTGAAAAAGGGGGATGTTGTCCACATAATTTGTCTGTCTCATTGGTGTTGAACGTTTATGTAGGGGAGCCATTCAGTCTCATAGATAGGTATAGCACCTGTTACTGAAGTAACTTAGTAAGCAAAGAATTAGCATTGGCATTATTATACCTTTCAACTCATTATGGAATATTCTCAGCCATTTAGAAAGTAAAATAACTGAGTCTGGATCACCAGTGAGACCTCTAAGAGAATCTTTTAAATGGTAATTGAAAAGTAGACTCCCTAGGTAATCTGTGAATAAAAGTATACTGGCTGTAACATTAATTATAATTAAATGCCACTTCCAGATATTTTCAAAAGGGAAGTGTTTATTTGTATAGTAAATTAAGATGCTTTTATTTATTTTAAAATTTTTAATGTTTTATTTATTTCTGAGAGAAGAGAGAGAGAGAGAGAGCGTGAGCAGGGGAGGGGCAGAGAGAGAGGGAGACACAGAATCTGAAGCAGGCTCCAGGCTCTGAGCTGTCAGTACAGAGTCCAACTTGAGGCTCAAACCCACAAACCGTGAGATCATGACCTGAGCCGAAGTCGGACACTTAACTGACTGAGCCACCCAGGCGCCCTTTATTTATTTATTTTAATGTTTATTTTTGAGGGGGTGGCCGCAAAGTGCAAGCGGGGGAGGAGCAGAGAAAGAGGGAGACACAGAATCTGAAGCAGGCTCCAGGCTTTGAGCCATCAGCACAGAGCCCTGCGCAGGGCTTGAACTCAAACCATGCATGAGATCATGACCTGAGCTGAAGTTGGACTCTTAACTGAGCCACCCAGGCACCCCAAATTAAGATGCTTTTAAAAAGCATAATGCTAAAATATCTGAAGACTTGTTGCCACTGTATTATTTCTCTCCATTTTTCATGAAATAACTCCTTTAAGGAGGAGATGATTCTTAAAAACAAGTGTTTTTTTCTTATAGGTTCGAACAAGGTCAGTTGGTGAATGTGTAGCATTTTATTATATGTGGAAAAAATCTGAACGTTACGATTTCTTTGCTCAGCAAACGCGATTTGGAAAAAAGAAATATAACCTTCATCCTGGTGTAACGTGAGTTTATTTTTTTTCTGTCAAGTCATATTTTTGCTCTTGAATTTTTCTTGAGAAAATTGTGATTTTTTTTTTTTTAGAATCTTCTTTTTTCACTAGGATAAGAGTTTACATTAAAGTTATCCAGTTTTAGACATCTCTTCACAGAGCATTTAGGCTTCAGTGCCTTATGAAACATTATAAACTACAATTCATAATACTTGAGACAAATACATCAAGGCAAATGTTAGTGTATTTCAGGAGAGTAAGTAGATCAGAATAGATGGTAAAGCATGTTTTTGTTAACTTCTGTTCCATTCAGTATAAGCACATAGTTTTTATCTAATAATACTGTGAGCACAGTGAGCACAGAAAAGAAACTCTTCAAAAACTATGGGGCTTACTGCCTCATAGAATCTCCTTAAAGAATGGAAATTAGTATTTTTCCTTGTCTGACCTACTTTCGATCCCAGGAACCAAAATAAGATTTGGGTATAGATGATATAAAAGGGAAAAGACACAGAGAAAATAAATCAGGTCAAATTTCATTTTCTTCCCTTTTACCTGATTTCCTGAAACCTTTCCTCCAACAGAAATAATATATAATAGTCATGCAACTTCGTCTGACTCCTAGTGATACAGGGAGTATGGGTTGTTACATGTCTTTATGTAAAATGCCTCGTATGTCTGGATCAGTCTCCATGCACCAAAGCTGAGCCTTATTTAGTCTAGCTTTGGAAAAAACTGTCCCTGCTGCTGCTAGGAGTTTACTTAAGTACATAGAGTATTGAATGAACCCTTCATGTCATGGGAGTTCTTCTAAAATGCTGATGAATTGTTCAGGTGGATTTAACTTTACCATTCTATCCTTGATTATTTCTTGCAGTTTATAGAATTTTAAAAAATGCTAAGTTGTGATTTCATTTGGTCAGTGTGCACCAGTAAAGTTCTCAGGGCTGGCCAAATAACTGCCTTTGAAAGATGTGCTTACATGCATATTTGATTGTGCTTTTAAAACTCCTAGGCTGGACTGCTTCTGGTAATGTTCACTTACAGGTTCTCTGCTACTTACTTCCCTAGAGGATCATACACTCTAAAACTCCAAAGCAAAATTATCTAAAAGGGAGTAATAGGTATGATTGCCCCTGGAAATCATGGGGCATTGGACTCTGCCTCATCCCCCATTATTCAAAGCTCATGATGCCTAGGGTGGAATTTCATACAAAGTATTCCAAATTTTATCTAATTGCTTGATGTTATAAATTTATAGTTAAATTTTCTTGATTTATTGCTAGTATTTGAGGTATGGTGACGTAGAATGAGATACAGCTATCTAGTCTTCAGAGTATACCTTAGTCACTATTTTCAAGCTATTCTGTAGGGAAAAGCCATAGTAACATCTTTCATTTTTTTCACCCATTTCAGAAATATTGTTCACACACGACCTACAGGCAATCTGTCGTCACCAGCAGTAAGAACATAAGAATTGCCATGCTGGGTCAGACCCATGGTTCATCCAGTTTTCTCTTTCAAAAAGCATCACCAAGAGAAGTGTTGTGGGCTGGCTTAGTTGGTCCTCTGTGCTGTCAAGCTCAACAGGTTAGGTAGGGATGTGCTGCCAAACATTTTAGTTTCTCTAATAATCTCTCCATAGCTTCTGGAAACTTTTTTGAAGATACTTATATCTACAACCTTGATTCCTCTTAAGGTTAAGTATTCTGTAGGTGGAGTAGCCACAGTTAAAAGTAGTCCCATATCATCTCTTTTCTCATGGTTTTTAAGATTTTACAGTGCCCCCTGGTGTAATGGTATGAAGTGAACAAATGTGTTTTTATCCCTAGGCGAAAATTGTTTGTGGGCTTCGGTTAAGTTCCTTCTCTGGTTCCATAGTTGTTTTTTAATTGAACCAACTGTAATTTTTTAATCCTACTTACCCCTTTTAGTTATGTTACATGTTCTGTAAGAAGCTGTGACCAGACGGTACGTTATTTCCCTAAGGAGAGAAATTGTGGTTTTCGGTAAAGAAGTAGATTCTTTTCTAGTTTGTTTCCAGGACCTCCTTCTGTTAGTAGTTGCACTTTGCACAGAACGTTAAGTTATTAGAAATTTGAATGTATTTTTTCATCTTTTTAGTCAAAATCCATAGTTCAAGCACATCCTGAAAGTTATTTGTTCGTTTTTCTGTTACATTTTTACCTTCCAATTTATTCACCAGAATGAAGCACCATTTGCCACTTTCATGCCTTATAAACCACCTCTGCAAGATCCTACTACAGATTCTCTCTACTCACTACCTGGAAGATTTAGTAGCCATATGCAAATTAGAGATTTTACTGCAAATATTTTTTTTTAAGTAAAAATTAACCCAGCACAACTCTGATTACTCGAATGCTATTCCAACGTCCTGGATGGCTGACCTGACTTCTTCCTTAAGCATTATGGGTGCCATTAATTTTTAAGAAGTAATAGTAATACAATACCATTGTAATATCCAGTCAACTCTAGCTTCCTTTGCTTGGCTTTTAACAATCCTCCATTATCCATTCCCACCATACCAAATTTATTTCCAACAGTTCGTCATCATGTATCATCTGTTCTTATTTAGTCATAGCTTCTGTAATCCCTTTGGCATCAGTACTCATTTCTGTTTCTTTGTGCTTCCAATTCATTACATAATTGTTCTGGAATTATGATGAATGGCCTAAAGCTGGAGGGGACTTAAAGATCATCAAATTTAATTCCCTCCATTTATAGAGGAGGAAAATAAGGCCTAAAATGTTACATTGATACGTGTTTTGTACCTCAGACTGTTGGAAGCTTCACATCCCTAGGTTTATTATATCCCCATAACCCAGGGGACAGTCTGATATGTCGTTTGATATTATAACTGGAATTAATAGTCTGTTGTAGACTGTTACCACAGACTTTCAGTAAAATCCTAAGCCTTTCCACTGTTGCCTTCTTACTTGCTCAGAAATTCTAAAAATTTGTCTTAATGTTTCTATTATAATTATTGTGAGCTTCTACTCTGTGCTATGCACAACTTAGGCCAGGTGGTGTGGTGATGACCAAAAGACCAAAATTCCTGCCTTTAGGGAGTTAGTTAAGTGCAGATATTAGCATACTTTCTCTGTGAAGAGTTAGGAGAGTAAATATCTTAGGCTTTGCAGGCCTTAAATTCTCTTGCAACGACACAGCTCTCCTATTGTACAGAAGCAGTCTTAGATACTATGCTCACAGGCCACAGTTTAAAGACCTTTATTCTAGTGACTTAATAGCACTTCATAGTTTATAAAACACTTCCCAACACATACCTTTTGCAACAACCCTGTGTGGTAAACACATACATGATTTTATATAGGTAAAGACACTAAGCTTTCAGATATGAGTATTTAGCTCAGATCTTCTGACCCAACCCAAAGTCACTTAGTACAGCTCTCCTCCCATACCATATAGTTCAGGAATGACTTAGGGAAGAAGTGAGCACACCTCTCATGGTATACTGGTAGGCAGGGATAGCAGATAAGCCAAGGAACTTAGTGAGCTTTTTATGGCTCAGATTTAGCAAAAAGATAATACACCAGGTATCCAGGAAAGTTCAGGGAAATGATTCATTGGTAGGCCCTGATTTGTCTTTGAAGTATTGCTGTAGCCATCAGAGTCTTGAGGAGCTTTAAAATTCCAATCTGTGTTTATTCAGAAATTCTTTTGTACTCCATCTGATTGGTGGCATCCCTGTCTCTTCACTTACAGATCCTCTGATTTTAGTTGGGCCACTCTGAGCACTTGCTTGTAGTTTTAAAGGTTTTAAAACTTCCTATAGGTCTGTAGAAGTTTTCTAGTTTAAAAGCCTTTATGCACTTTCCCAACAAACGTAACGAAAAAGAGCTTTCCATTTAAATGTTCAGATCCTGATGGGATAGATGAGGCACTAGAATGAATGTAAGTGCAAATTAGGACATATTTGTTAATAAAGCCTTCTAAATTTAACCTCAGTTTTAATTTTCAGCTTTTTTAAATATAAGAAGGTAACTTTTATTATTTCTTTGAAGGGATTACATGGATCGTCTTCTAGATGAAAGTGAAAGTGCTGCTTCTAGTCGGGCACCATCCCCTCCCCCAACTGCCTCAAACAGTAGTAACAGCCAGTCTGAGAAAGAAGATGGCACTATAAGCAACAGTAATCAGAATGGTAAGCACCCAAAGAAACTCGTCTGTTTGTTCCCAATGAAGGGCACTTGTCTTTAGCAGCATGGGCAATTCAGTTTGGGTTTGGATTAAACTTCCAAAGCAGAAGTTAAAAATAATAATTGTCAATACTCATGGCACATACATAATATGAGCATACATACATAAGTTTAATAAAAATATACTATCAGTAGTGACCATTTCTTTGAAGGAATTTATTCTTCTTGAGAAGCATGTATTAGTCATTTGGGATGCTTGGATGAAAGTATTCTTGCTAACTGTTAGACCACAACTCCAGCACCAATTTCACATCAGAAGTACACAGATATTTATGAAATATGTTGAGTGTGTCATACTTCATCAGGAAAGTCCTTTTAAACATTTGGTGAAAAGAAGTAGATAACAAGGGCTTGAATAGTTTTCTTTTTGATAGTGTAATAACCTTGAAGGATGAGAAAAGATAAAGCAGGAGTCAGGCTCTGCATTAATAATTCTGCAGAAACATTTCTATTTTTATCCCTGTGAGAAAGAAGTAAATGGCATTCGATTACATTTGAGGTTCCGGTAATGTTCTTGTTTAAAATCTATAATGGACCAAAGATCACTGTGTTGATAAGTAAGACCTAGTCAGAAAATTATTTTGACTTCTGTAATTAAAACAACCCTTCCACTCCTCTTAAGGAGGAAGCTGGTGAGGTAGAGACCAGCTCCTCACACCTGTATTCTGATGTAAGAGTCTTAGGGGAGGGCCAAGGAGAGCTAACCTCGCCTACAGAAGCCAGAAGAGGAACACTGAGAGACAGTTCCTTCTTCTGACCTCTGGTCTCACACTGGCACTGCTGAAACAAATATATTTTGTTCATTTAATGACCCCTCTCTGTTCCCTCACTACTTCCCCCTAAGAACAAAGCATACAAACAGAAAAGAGGACCCAGCAGCCATTTCCTGGTCTAAAAAGGTTCAAGGACATGTTGTCTGATGCTATCCTGAAGTGTAGAGTAAGAAGCTAAGACTCTGATGTTAGGACTGGGGGATAGAAGCTCAGGGATGCATACAGTTGATACTATTTTGGTCTTTTCCCTGTTTGTTCGTAACACCAAGTAAATTTTTTTTTCTTTTTTAACCATTTGATGAAAACATGCAGTTTGACCTAAGAAGGTATATATAAATCATAAGTTTTTCAGTAGCCCAGAAGCCATTCACCTCAGTTCCTATAATCAAGATTCCTGGGTTTTTCAAGGAAAGGAAGGAATTCACAAATTTAGTTATCTTTCTTTCGTGAGGGGCTTAGTGTCTTGAAATCTAGTTATTTTTTTACCTACTCACAGTGGTCACGTAGCTCTTTGGGCTTTACTATAACAGAATTGTTCCTTCTACATCATGGTGCGTAATTGCCAAATGCACATATGGTTTGAGTGCACTTTTGAGTTAGGGACATAGATTATCTTCTTTGACCAAAATCTAGTATTTGAGGCTCATCCTTTATACTGAATATTTTTCAGATAATTAAAAGTTAATTATCTCCAGTGGCGCATTCTGTATTTTACTTTAAATGTCTCCAAAATGTTTACTCCATTTTGCAGTCAAGTCTAACATGCCCTTTTCATGGTTACTTTTATTAGAATAATTGTTCTCTTACCTATTATAGAGGCATTTGTGTTTGCTTTTATCACTTTCAAATGTATGTTTGGACAGTGTAAGCATTACTTTTTTAACATGGTGGCAGATGATTTAAATCCATTTAGATAAATATGTGATCTTTACCCTTAAAACACAATACCCATGGATTCACTTACATTAAGAATGGAAAAGTCTTGTCATTTTATATGGCCTTAGAAAACTCAATCTTCTAAATCTTTTTTCACATAGTTTTAGAAAGTTAAACCATTTTGCTAAATCTAATAATTTGTGCATATCTTTGCTTTATCTTAGACTGCCGGGTCCGGTGCTTATTTGTTGTCACATAATACCAGCATGCTTCTAATATATGCCAAATTCTGTTAATCCTTTACGTTTATAATTTAATCTTCACAGCAACCCTGTAAGGTTAATCTCTTATTACCCTCATTGTCCATGTGATGAAACTGAGGTGCACAGAATGTAAATAAGTTTTGCCAAACGTTACGCAGTTGCTAAGTAGAGCCAGAGTTTAGACCATATGTATATATAGATTTGATCCCTCTCATCCTTGACAAAAAGCTTTCACAATAGCTGTTTTAGAATAGTTTACAAATTTAGCTTTTTAATACTAGCAGTTTCACTTACATTTCTTCCAATGTAGGGGTGTCATCTAATGGACCAGGTGAAATGTTGAACAAAGAAGAAATAAAAGCTGAAGGGTTACACGTGAATGGACCAACAGGTGGAAATAAGAAACCACTTCATGCAGATGTGGATACTAATGGTTATGAAACAGATAACCTTACCACTGACCCAAAACTTGTCCATATGACTGCAAGAAATGAAAATGATTTTGATGAAAAAAATGAGAGACCTGCCAAAAGGCGAAGGGTAAACAGCAATGGAAAAGAAAGTCCAGGTTCTTCTGAATTCTTCCAGGAAGCAATGTCACATGGAAAATTTGAAGAACTTGAGAACACCGATGACTAAATTTTAGACTTATTTTACTTTCTTTGGAGTAAAATCTGGTTTGACTAAAATTTTCAGGGTTGATGGGTTACCTTAAAAAGTTGATTTTCTTGAAACAGTTGGTTAAAATTTGAAAATTTGAGATGAGTTCTGATTTTAGTAAGTAAGATTTCATAATTCTGCCCTTTGTAGACTTTTTACTTCAAAAGTGTAAAGATCCTGTTAAGGCTATAACATATAGTTTAGTAAATTTGAATGAACTATGGAAATATCTGTACCTTCTCATTTGATGTATTAATCTTAAAAGCTCACTACAGGTACTTTTTGCTTAGTTTGATGGCAGAGAAGAAAAAAACCCAGGTTCTAATTTCTGTTTAACACCAGTTTTTCTGAGTTTCTTGAAATGTCTTCTTTTCTAAGAGACATTTTCTCTCCATACAAATTGAGTGTCATTATTAAGGAAACCCTTATGAATCCTGAAAGTTATGCTGGCATGATTTTTTATATATAGAAGTTTTAAAATAAACCAAGTCAGGTTTGTATATGTAAAATTGTTGACATCAATGATGTCTTTCCATATTCTTATCTGGGCTTAAGAAATACATTCTGTATTTTTCCAGATTCTTTGTAGCCTTTGAAAGATTTTTACAGTACATATGTCTTGACTGAGCTGTCCTTTCTTAATACAAAAGCTTGTATAATTTTCTTAACTTGTACAGTTGGTAAACTTTTATGAGAGGAATTGATATTCTGAGTCTGTCAGCTTTCATTTTATTTTGCTAAGGTTTTTCTAATGAATTTTTAAGTGTTTGTGTAGTAACTAAGTCATGTTTCTTATACAGGTGGTAAAAGCATTCATAAAGGATTGTGAAAATTTGTTTTTTCAGATTTCTACTTAAGGACAAATAGTTTGAGAATTCTGAAATTAAGCATGATACCTAGATTGCATCGTTTGTTTTGCATTTGCTATAATTTTCAAAATTATTTTTGAAGCAAGATGAAAGTTTAATGTTAGTTTAAGTGCTTAAATGTATCATGCTGACCAGAATCCTGTTCGGTTATTTTTATATGCATTATAAAATTTCCCATTTTTGCATTAACTAAACAGGGGAAAAGGTCAAGCAATATTTAGATATTGGCACACACAAGGAGTTGGCAGATAACAATACTGATTTTATGTGGAAAAAGTGATGAAGTTGAGTGTACATCCATTGCTCTGTGTGATTACAAACAGGATCATCATTTTGCATAGCTTTTCAAGAGTGCCATTTTATTTTTAGTGCAAAATTCTTGTTAAAAATGTAGTTTTATACAGCTGATAGACCAACCTATATCCAAACTTTTATAAAAGATTATTAACTATTCTTGTTTTTTTTCACAGGCATATCCCAAATGCTTCTACCAATTCAGTTTCAGCCATCAGTTCAAGAGCCAATGCCTTTTTAAAATAAATCTGTGGTCTTGTTTTTAATGGCTCAACTGTTGAATACAATTGAGTAAAGGTTTGCACTGAGAAATTATGGTTTAGGCCTTACCCCCATGAAGTATTACTATTAACGTATGTTCAGAACTGCTTCCTTCCACCAATGTGAACAACTCTTTTCCCTAAACAGTGTTAAAAAGCCACTTGACAACACTTGACTTCATATAATGTACATTCACTGTTTTTACGTACATATCCAAGTAAATCAGAGTTTTGGGTGGAACTGTTAAGAAGCCTGAATTTTTTTTGTTTTGTTTTACCCTACAACATTTAATTTATCCAGAGTGGCAGCTTTAGCAGATGGTCACAATCCACTTTCTAAATCAGTTTTTATTACACAAATCCAAAGTATCCTAGCTCCAGCTCTTTGTCAAAGATGGTCTATAGAAGTGTTTCAAATGAAATAGTGACGCTATACTTTTTAAGTTGTTGCAATATTAGAGATGCTATTTTCACCTTTTTCAAAAGATGCATTTTGTTTGCAGGTTTGTGAAGTTCTTGGAAACTAATATTACAAGAACATTTTAGTAAATTCTCAGGCATGTTTGCAAATATGGCACATGTATACATGTTAGGAAATTTTACTTTTCTTAATCTTATCTTTTTAAAGTATACCTAATAAAAGACATTCCACTATTATAATACATAATGCTCAGCCTTTCATGAAGAAATATTTAATTGTATTTGTGTTTATACAGGTATTTCACACAGTACTTTGTTCTTCATAATGCAGCCACTATAACTTGATAAGTCATTGCACTACTTTAAAATTTTTAGTAATATCATGAATTTGTTTTAAGATTTAGTACATTTCATAACTCTTGAACTCTTAACCTGCATTGGGAAAAGACTTTAATAGTTACTTAGTTTCCCCCACCCCATACCCACCACCCTCAACAAAGCACTATCATTTTCACTTGAAATGGTATTCTGTTTTATGATGTGTTTTCAAATAGAGTACAGAATCTGCAACTCAGTTCAACACAAATCTGTTGAGCTTTAAAACGTATTTGAATATTTAAATAGGCATTTAAAATTATGAATTAGAGGTTTTTAAATTTATGCATAGTAATTTTGCACTGTAAAATAATTCCCTTTCCCCATTCCCTGTCTGCCATTCTGAATATGCTTATTAAAATATTTTTTTAAACATACTTGTCTACATAATGCCGTGTGAATGATTTTCATTAGATTGATTCACTAGCTTTTAAGTACAGATTTAAGTGTATATAATACATAGTGTTTACAAAATAGGTATAATCTCTGGCCGTTCTTCTCCTAGATCTATCACATAAACTAGTGTTTGGCTTCTGGTCCCTTTGACCTCATCTTAAATGATGTATTTTTGTCTTCTTTTTTTTCCTCCTAGGAGATCTTTGGGTTTGTGGACCTTTATTCATCCACCTTCCTCTAAACTATGTAATTACAAATTTTCCCCATCTTTTGTAGTGCAGTTCATATCCCATAACACTTTTCAAAAAACTTTTGTCACAATATTTACTTTTCTCTAAATGGATAATTAAGAATGGGCATTTTAATAAGTGAGGGCTAGTGAATTTCCACCCTAGAATTGTGGAACTGGCTCTATATCACTACTAAATGCCCAAAATGCATGCCAGTACCACAGAGCTGTTGGGATTTTGAAATCACACATATCACATATGAGGAAATCCTCCCTAGGAAGCACAAGATCCGGTAGTGGTAGTGGTAGTGGTAGTAGTAGTGGTAGTAGTAGTATAGGCCTGTGGCTCCTTCTCCAAAATTCTTGTGACCAGTATTTTTCAGATTTTAGAGAGGTACTTCCTATGTTTTAAAGAACATCCACAGGTCTAGAACCTATGGTTAAGCACAATGTCCACCGTAAAATGTATTCATATTCACGTACATTTCAGGTCAGATACTGCTGCCAAATGAGTTTGGCAATAAACTCAAGAAAAAAACTCGGATTTCAGGATCAGAAACCTGCAGTAGCCTTCAAATCTTGCTAGCACTCACTTGGCAGTTTATTCCAATTTACTTTGCTACATAACTGGCAAAGAGGCACGTAAACAGGAAGCCAAATGTAAAACTAACAGTTTTGGTATGTACAGCAGCTTCAACAGAGCCCTTCTAAAGAGCCAACAAGTACCTTAGAGATGAAGCAGCTGGTGAGGAGAGTCCCCCAAAGTCTAGACGTGACCCCTCTGGAGCCTTCCCTGCAGTCCTCTGTTTATGGAAGGGGAAAATGGAAGGCACAAAACGGAAAAATGCCCAACAACTTCAGACTGAGCTGCTTAGACATGGTCAGATTACTCTTCCTTTTCCTTCATGGTACTTTATAGTTTGTGTATTTATGGCTAGAGTAATGGGCTCAACCCTTCACCAATCAGTCCCTACGGCCCAGAGAGTGAATTAGCCACCCTTTAGCCAGTCCATCATTGTGGCTAGGCAAGCGGTTCTCATAAGGTGGCAGTTATTTTTAGATTCATTAGGCTTGGCTGGGAAAGAGGCATTTCCTCAAAAGGAGCATGTGTTGGTCAAAGAAAGGTTCTTCTGCAAGTATTATCAGATGCCATTAACAAGTGATTATTATTTGCTCAACAGTCATCCTAAACCAATCCTCACAATATTACAAATTTTTACAAATGGGGCAACTGAGCTGTCTTGGGAAGCTGACTTAATTTTCCAATGATCTGCATTTGTTCACCTATTTTCCTAAGTTAGATCTTTGTGTTTAGAGATGATGTGTGTTGCAGGGGAGAATGCAGATGCTATCTGCAAACCTGTTCTACCCTTTTTTCCCCTCAAGTCTTGAGTTCTGGAAAGAAGAGAAAATTCCCCAAGTTGGAAAAAAGCTAGTCTGAAAAAAGTAGGCTCTGAGAATAGTCGGTACGAGTTCATTCTTTAGCAACACTTCAGAGGAGGCTGCATGTGTAGGTCATGCTGGACTTGAGGCACCGAGACTTGCACTGTGCCACCTGCCTTCACAGAGCACCTCCTCAGAGACAGTTACCAAGGAGTTTAGCAGTGACCATGAAGGGCGGGAGACACATACTTATTTTTTCCAGGCACCATACAATTCCCTTGAATCTGGTTTAACCTTAGCGAAGGATTGAGGTTGAATTTCCTGCTAGGTGGTAAGACAGGGACTCCTCTAACTTGATTTTAAAAGAATAATTTGACGCTTCCTCCACACTGGACTGCTTGTTCCCGGCAGCTCTGCAGACTCAAGGCAAATGGCAGGCCTTACAGAAAGGCGAATTTACAATCTGTAAAGCAAATACTTTTTCACAGTTACCACTGTTCAATAATGGAAACTTTCTCTGGTTTTTCCTCACCTCTAAAATAAGAATAGTGAAACTTAAAGGACCGATTAAGGGACTAAAATATATCAATATGTAAGGTGCTAAGAAAAAATGCCTACCCGGCATGTAGCAAATGCTAAGTAAATGTATTTTTACTGTCGCAGAGCAAGTATTCCAAAGTTTGCTATACTTTAAAAACTACCCTTTTGGAAACCTAAATGTCTTAAAAATGCTCATCTTTGATCTCCTGAAGTTCAGATGGTCTCCTTGAATATAACAGATTTAGGCAAAAGAAATTCACCACAGCCTTACTTATAAACAAAACTTAGAAACAGATTTCATTATCGCCTGTTAATTGTGCCTCCTAAAATAACTCAAATACCATTTCTATTCTGTGCTTTCACAGCTACACAATAGGATTCCATCATTTCACCAGGACTGTACAACAACCTCCTACAAATGGTGTATTTATGTGCATAGTCCTGCCTGCCTTTGAGCCCCCCTGAAAGTATCCTCGGTGATCGTGTTATAGTGCAAATCTGGTTTACAGCAGGTCCTCAATGTAGGCACACCAGTAGCCAGTGGGCCAAATCTGCCTGGTAACTTTGTTTCGTTCTAATCTGAACAGCTTTAAGCAAGTAGGTACCATAAGCTCAACCACTAACTACTCTGTGTATTGACTGCATTCATTCAGATTCACACTTTTAACCTGCCTGGTCCCTCTCTCATTATCAAGTCCCAACCGATAATCCCAATCCTACAGCTGGTGTGATCTTTCTAAAATGAAGATGACACCATGTTTCTGCCTTGCTATGCTTAAAAAATGTAGTCATTAGTCAGGTACACTTTGTCTAGAGGTATTCATTTGGGAATGTGTACCCACAGTCTGCCCAGCACTAATCTCTCTAGGTGTCAGAGACCCTGCAGTGAACAAAACAGACCAACATCTGCGCCTTCATAAAGCTTACGTTTCATCAAAGGAGACACATGCTACAGAGAGAAAGCACAGGAGGGGAATACAGACAGTGGTGGGGTGTAAAGGCAGAGAGGCTGGTCAGGGAAGGCCCAGTGAGGAGGGCATCTGCTGTAAAGACATTAAAGGGGGCTGCATTCCAGACAGAAGCAGATTACAGTGGCCCTGGAATGCTCGAGAGCTGGCCCCTCCAACAATGCTAACTGTCCTTCAGGAATCAGCTCAAATGCCATTTCTCCAATGGTTCCTCCCATACATTCTTACACAGATCTCAGTTTCATGATTCTGTCATCATTTGTACATACTGTCCTCAAAAATATTCACTGAAAAAAAATTACCTGAAGAATAAGCACACATGCCGAGGCACTCTTGATGAAATCCTCCTTCTGCATTCTCCTAACAGGGATGTTATCTGGAGTTCTTTGGGAAGAGAAGGTTTAGGAATTAAAGTCCAGATTTAAATTTATCAGCTGAGAAAAGTTGGACAAACTTCTTAGCTTTACTTAAGCCACTACTCGTGCAACAGTACTGTAGTATGAAAAGACAGGATAAAGGCCTAACTCCGTGAAAGCACACAGCAGGCCCTCCCTCAGTAAATAACTGCTTCTCACGCACACTGCTTTCCATCACTTACTCCCCCAGTGGCAGCTGCTGCCACAAGAGGGCCCCATCAGCACAACTGGAAAGGCCTGTCTGCTTTACCTTCTCAGATTTAACCAGCTACCAGCTCATGCCTAAGCTTTAAATCCATGGCGCATGGATTTTGAATGAAGAATGGCACTTGACGGGATATAGTGATGATGAGCTTGGTAGCACCAAGTCCATTGCAGGCAGACGCAGCGAGACAAGAACCTTGTATGGTGGTGAAGAGCAAAAGTCTCCCGAGTCCAGGTGACTGGGGTCTGAAGGTGGCTTTCACAACCACACGGGACAATTTACCTCACTCGGCTTCATCTCTTAAATATGGTTGTGTCTGGCCTCAAGCTCAGTCTAGCTTGATGGAGGGATGGATGGCTGATGCGACGAGAGCTGGAGGGAAGTGCTGGGCATAGCCGGTAACTGCTCACCTGCTACAGATACATGAAGGCACAGGCCCTGCGCTTTGCTCCTGTCGGCACTGCCTCTTCGGTGGTGGTCTCCAAAAATGACAGCCCCGTGCAGGGAAGCCACGCCGAGACAAGAAATCACCAAGGAGCTGAATGAAAGAGCATATAACTCACAAGTTAGAAAGATTTAAAAATCTAAGAGGATTTTTAAAACTTGATTAAAACATGCCTCAAGGGCAGTCTCTTCAACAAATGGTGTCAGTAAAACTAAATACTGGCGTGCAAAAAAATGGCATTAGACGATGACCTTCTACCACAAACAAAAACTGAAAATGGATATAAGCCTTAAATGTGTGATGTAATTTTACAAAACTCTTCGAAGGAAAAAATATAGGGGAAAAGGTTCATGACAATGGATTTGACAATTATCTCTTGGATATAACACCAAAAGCATAGTCAACAGAAGTAAAAATAGATAAACTGCAGTACATCAAAACTGAAAACTGCATCAAAGGGCAGAACAAGAATGAAAGGCAACCTACAGAGTAGAAGAAAATATTTGCAAATAATACATTTTTATAAGGAGTTGAAATTCAGAATGTACAAAGAATGACAAATCAACAAAAAGTCCAATTAAAAAACGGACTTGAGTAGACATTTCTTCATAAAAAGTATATAAATGGCCAACACGCATATAAAAAGATGCTCAACACCACTAATCATTAGGAAAATTCAAATCAAAACCACAATATGATCACCACACAAACACTAGGCTGGCTACTTTCAGTAAAACAAAGTAAATGTTACCAAGGATGTGAAGAAATTGGGACCCTTGTGCACACTGGTTGGAATGTAAAATATGCACCCACAACAGAAAACAGTACGGGAATGCCTCAAAAAAATAATAACAATAATAGAATTACTATATGACCCAGTAATTTTAAAAGAAAAAACATATGTGAAATCCCCATGTTAAATCGTATGTTAAAACCCTAATCCGCAATGTGATGATATTTGGAGATGAGGCCTTCAGGAGGTAATTAGGTCATAAGGATGGAGCTCTCACCATAGGATTAGTGCCCTTATAAGCAGCAGCAAGACAAAGCTTCGTCTCTGCTCTCCACCATGTGAGGGTAAGAGAATATGGATATTCCACAAACCAGGAAGCAGGCTCTTACCAGACACCAGATCTGCAAGCACTTTGATCTTAAACTTTCCAGCTTTTAGAACTGTGAGAATAAATGTTAAGCCACCCATTCTACAGTAATTTGTTACAGCAGCTGAAACGATTAAGACACCCATTTTTTGCAATTTTACAATGCCAAAAGTGGTAGTGAGCCAGTGTCCATCAATGGATGAATGGATAAACAAAATGTGCTATGTACACACAATAGAATATTATTCAGCCTTAAAAAGGAACTATGATGACATGCTACAGTATGGATGGACCTCAAGGACATTATGTGAAATGAGCCAGGGATTGATTTCAGATGATTTCACTTATATGAGGTTTTCCAGAGTAGCCAAATTCATAGACAGAAAGTAGGATGGTGGCTGCCCAGGGCTGGAAGGAAGGGGTAATGGGGAGCTGCTTAATGGACATGGATTTCAGTTTTTCAAGATGAAAAATTCTGGAGACTGGTTGCACAACAATGTGAATAGATTTAATACCACTGAACTGTACACTTAAAAATGGTTAAGATGGTAAATTTTGTGCTATAGGTATTTTGTCACAATCGTTTTTAAAGCCTTAATGTACACGAAATTCAGTTGAGCTTACCTGTACCAAAATGCCTCTCTTGATGAGCATATCTTATTTTGGGGTTATATCCTGGTAAAGCTACTCAGAGGCTTAGACAGCTGATTAAGCAGATGAAATATTTTATAAGTAGAAAGATTAGCATTTCTTTCTTTTGAATTTGCCACAAGTGTGCCAGAGACACTGGACATTTAATCATAATGCGCTAGTCATACAAAATACTTGTATGTATAAAGGAAAAATTCTTCCTGTGTCTTCTCTCAATACTATTTACGAAACAAATCTGCAACACCAGTTGGGTTAAGTATGACCCAGTTCTGACACTCTCTCTCTCTGGAGTTAGCATCAGGTCCTGTAATTCCCACAAGGCTCCCAGGCTCAATCCCACACGTCTGTGACCCCTTCCTCCCACCCCCTTCCAAAGCAGATCACAAGTCCAGGTTGTTAACCTATGCATCTGATCAACCAGCTATAAATCCAGGTTCCCAGGACCTCCCCCCTCAGTTTTGAATACTTTGTTAAAGCCATTTACAGAATTCAGGAAAAGTTTATTTACTAAACTACCAGTTTCTTATAAAAAGACATACCTCAGGAACAGCCAGATGGAAGAGAGACATACATTGGGCCAGGTGTGCAGCAAGGGGCGTGGGGCCCTCCTGCCCCCTCTAGGAGCACCACCCTCCCAGCACCTCCATGTATTCAGCAACCTGGAAGCCACCCAAACCTCATAGTTCACGGATTTTTACTGGAGCTTCCATTATGTTGACATAATTAAATCACTGGTCATTGGTGACTGATTTAGCCTCCAGTGCCTCTCCCCTTCACCTAGGGGGCTGGGACAAGGAGCCTTAAAGCTCACACCACAAATTGCCATGGTTGGTTCCCCCCACAACTAGCCCCCACCTGTTCTTAACAAAGTCAGGTGGAGTTGGTTAAAAGAGGCTCATTATGAAAAATAAAAGACACTCAATTCATCTTTATGGCTACAGAGCTATTTCAACAACTGGGAACAAAACTAAATATAACAAAAGACACTCTTCTACCACTTATAAAGTATAAGAGTGTTGGAAGCTATGTGCCAGGAGGAACAGGGACAAAGACCAAATATAAATTTCCATTATAAGTCACAATATCACAGGGGCAAACTTTTTTATTACCGGGTTTCAATCAACTAACTGGATGCCATCCTCTTGAATGTGGTAGACATATGGCTCTTTGTATGCACTTAGAAAGGAATTTTAATACATGTATTCAGGAAAAAGTATTTATTTGACACCTTTACAAAAATATTTAGGCACATAATTTTCATGTTTATGTCACCTGATTTACACATCTCAATCCTTAGTACCTTTTAAAACCACTAAAATGGTCATTTGGTAAACAGGATCTGTATTGAAAAAATACTATGATAGGCCAACATTTGTAGACAAAAATCAGTTGATCAGCATGAGAAATATTTATGAACAAAATAATCTCTAAAAACATTTTTTGAGACAATAAATCTAACCAGTAGATTTCTTTTTTTTAAAGTAATTCAAAAAAGAAAGCTTAAAAAAACCCACCACTGAATATCTTTCATTCCGTGAGGAAGTGGCACCCTAAGGTAAGAGCAAGAAGACAGTGATGGTGCCAGAAGTCTATAAGCACCAACAACTGAGATAAATGCAGGCTCACAGGCAACGTGGAAAAAGGATGAAGGCAGGTCTGGCCTGCAGAGGAGCAACTGGGAAAGTTTTAACTGAATCACCAATCTGAATCCTCATTCTGAAGGGAAGATAAAAATAATTTCTTCTGTTTTGAAATTCACCATCAAAATAGAAGTAATTTTGTTCCTTTTTAAAAACAGGTGGAATCACCTGCATCACATAATGGCCACAATTATATCCAGTAGGTATTTAAAAAAAAAAAAAAAGACTACTGTTATTTAAGCATTCTTGGGACAACAAAATAAAGGGTCACATTTTTCAAGAAATACACATATTGCCCGGGCCTCCAGCATTTAAGGAGCACAGATTAAGAATCTAGTTTGCCTACAGCCTCACCATGAAACAGTGACAGTAACAACACTTGCGGAGTGCCTCACATGGACTAGGGCATTGTGCTGAGTAGTTTAACATCCACTGTCTCACTTATTGTGAATATTATTGTTTTTCCCTCAAGGAAGGAAAAATCAACTACAGCCCTGTTCATAAGGAGAAATTATTCACAGGGGATATGTTCCCAGACCCCCAGTGGATTCCTGAAACCACAGAGTACCGACCCCTACACATGCTTTTTTCTACACGTACAGACCTATGAGAAAGTTTAACTTCTACATTAGGCACAGTAGGAGATTAACAATAATAAAATGGAAAAATGGTAATAAACTGTAATAAAAGTTATGTGAAGGTGTCCTCTCTCAAAGTATCTTAGGGTACCACACTCACCCTCGTGATGGCGTGAGGTGATCCAATGCCTGCTGAGGAGGTGGAGGGGAAAGACGCAGCACTGTGACGTAGCATTCAGCTACTACTGACCTACTGACGATATGTCAGAAGGATCCTGTGCTTCTGGACCTCACTTGACCGCTGATGACTGAAACTGAGGCAAGAGAAACTGCAGATAAGGGGTATGTCTATTTTATACAGTTATGGGGAAGAAACAATATGCGAAGTAGAGGAAGGAGGAACCCAGACTATTCCTGAATTCTAACGGCCTGGCACTGGTCTCAGAGCTAGTAGTTTGAGTTGTAAAGTCCTTTTAGATTAAAAAACTGCTTCAGCTCATGGGTGGGTGGGGCACCCTAATCTGTGATACCTGCAGGCAGCTCTTAACTTACAAATCACTGACTGCTTTCATCTTTCATCTCCTTTCTCTCACTATGGGTCTGGCTAAAGGATTACACATTCCTTGAGAGCAAGAACTATGTCCTGCTCAGGGTGGTTTCCCCAAAACTTGGCATAATGCCCTGGCATAAAGCAGATGCTCAAAAAATGTCTGCTCACTGATGAAACCATAATAACGAAAGCAGGCCCAAAATCCTAGGCACTATTCCAAAGCAGTCAAATATGAAACTCTACTGTTCCTTCTGTGAAGAATCTATATCTACTGACCTGAACTTTCCATGGATTCTTGATACAAAAGGACTACAGAAAACTTGCAGATGCATGGTGTTTTAAACCTACGTGCACGCTGGATCCTACAAATGACTCATAAAGTCAACAGCCAGATGAAGCAATTAAAAGTCACCTGACATGTTGGCAACATGTAGTCTGGTCAACCAGACCAGAATCAATCTGGCACCAACTAAAAGCAGACAGGCCAAAAAGGACCTTACTGTCATTAACTCAAGAAGAGGAGCCACCAGTCACAGAATTGGATTTTCAAAACTCTCATCACAGCTCATCTGTCTCAAAGGACAATTTAAGGATTTAACTATAAAGCTATCTCTTGTTCTCCCAGGAAGTAATTAATAGGCCACAGAATTTTTGCCTTCTAAGATAATAACCTTAGGGCAAAATCCAAACATTTTGGGTGATGTTAGAGTACCAGGTAAATCTCTAGTGCACTATAGCCAAGCCTGCACATAACTGAAAGACTCCAAAAATGGCTGGACAGTCTATTCAGTCTCCAACTTCTCCAGGCTGGTTTCTCTTATCTTGATATGTTGGTGGTAGTCAAAGAGGGAAAGAGAACAGGGCAGAAGCTGTGACCTGCTGTACTGCTTCTGGCCAGTCAGAAAATTCAGCACAGGTGGCAGGCCCTAAGGTCATGTGCATTTAGTAAGGCTGTAATTACACATGATTTTCTTAAACCTGGAGTGATGACAGATCTTCAAGGAACCTGACCCCCAAGAAACAGTTTAGTTCCTGCTGGAGTTTTAGCCCAAAAGCTCTAGACAGAGGCAAAGGCCTTTCATGATGAGAAATTCTACAACACAAATGATTTCTAATGTCAAATTCCCTCCATGTGCCTTGATATAAGAAGAATGAGAACCACTAAAATTAGCTCTCACAAGGCCTTTCCACTGTGCCTAGGCAAAACCAGGAAGCATCAGGCAACACTTACCAACTGAGGCCAGCCTGGAAGGTAGACAGAAGCTCTGGCATGTAGAGTGACACATCACTGTCCCTAATTTGCAAAGCCTATTCCTCTCTGACTCCAAATTCAACCAAGCACTTGCCTCCTTGAAAACGCTCAAGTTGACTCAGCCAGCCATCCCCATTTCCTCACTTCCTCAGAGGAAAATGGCAGCATGGTTCAATGGAAAGAAATGTGAATTTTTACTTATTAACAAGTCACCTACTTTCTCTTGAGTCTTATTTTCTCATTGGTAACACAGAGATAATAAAAATCATTTTACACAAGATAATATCCGATGCTCCCACTGAATTATCTCAGATCAGGTGATCCTGGAAAAAAAAAGTGAGCCTTGGGAGATCTGCGCCTGGAAGCTGGCCATGAGGCTAATTCTAGGGACCCAACAACACTGGTCAGGCTTTAGTAAAGACAAACCCAAATAAAGGAAACACAGGAACATGAAAATGACCTCAATATAATTTTTTAAAAATAAAAAGAAATCAAAACCTTCCAGGCCTCCTGTTAAGCCATCAAAATACTAATTGTTTAGATCAGCAGAGCCCTGTGGATTCCAAACCAATGAAAGAGAAGTTAGTGTGCACCAGTGCAAAAGTACCCAGTCTCTTCCACACTGACTGCACAACTGGCCTGTGGAAACACTCATACTCAAAGTCGGTGGATGTCTCTGTGCCAAGTCACAGGGCTGTGTGAGTGAACCCCCTCCCTGCCCGAAGAGGCAATTCAGGCAATGGCTACTCACAGCTGCTCTCCCAGGATGCAGCAAAGGTCTTGAAAGGTGATGTGCTCATAAGGTAAGCCACGGGACACAGGATGCAGATAACAGTATGAAAGGACACAGGTATACTTATGCCATTTAAGGAGAAAGGATAGTGATGGCTGTAACACCGACATGCAGAACAAAGACCAAGCCTTGACAATGCAGAAACCTCTTAAAAGGCTTTCCCCTCAAACCAATCCATTCATAAATATAAGACCTAGTTGTATTAATTCAAAGAGGAGTAAAAAGAGTAGCAACCAAACCTAGAGGAGGGAAGCACATGAAAGAGACAGCGGCCACCTTGCCTGCCTGCCATCCTCACTCAGAGAAGAAACACTGAGTTGCATGGTTTACAACAAAATGTAGCTCTTCATACGACTCATGATCTTGGGATCACAAGTTCAAGCCCCATGTTAGGTAGCGTGTACTTTAAAAAAAAAATAAATTTTTAAAAAAATAAATAAAGAAAATGCCGCTCTTCACATACATGTCATCTCATACTGGAGCATACGGTTGTGCACCATTGTGGGGTAGACAGGAGCAGATACTTTTAACCCCATTTATAGATTTACAGTTTCTAAGAGCTGAAAAAAGTTTCTGTGACTTGTTCAGAGTGACAGCATCTTCTGAATGGATCATAAAGTTAAGTTTTCTCTCTTAACCCTCAGTCACAATAGCAAGGGTGAGATCATTCAACTACCTCCAAAAACATCTCTGCACCCCCAGCACTTAGCATAATGGCAGGCACATATTACATACCCAGTACATTTCAGCTGAATGAATGAATTATATAGATGGCCGCCTTCCTCCATACCTTCATTATCCCCATCTTACACAACAAAGAGGGAATAGCATAATTCCAAGGAATGCACTCTGCCCATCCCATGACTTCCCAGGGAAGCCAATATGGAAACCAATATAACTTCAAGGTATCTGTATTTTTTTAGTGCCAAAGTTGTCATCTTTAGCAAATGCAGGGATAATATCCTTATGAAGAAAATGCAATCATTAAGAAAATTTAAAAAGGAGAAATTTTAGATACTTGGCTGCATTTCAGCAGAAGGAAGGCTGAGCTGCCTCAATATGCAGCAGCAATTTGAATGAGGAGGCTCCCCCTGGAGCACTTTATATACGCAGCTCTAAGGGACACCTGGCTATCAAACTATGGAATAAAATATTTTCAAAACACTGATATTTCATTGTCAGCATAAAAGAAATAAATTAAAGAGCCAAGTACATTTTCCAGTTTGATATAAATTAATTCCAACGGCATATTTAAAATAGACTCAATTATAAGTTTCTCTCATAAAATTTTAAAAGGCAGCAATCAATCCTCAGATTGTACAAGTGCAAAGGAATGGTTATTTTCTCCATAATCAAGACACCTGAATGTCTATATAAGAAATGCCAGTGTTCTCAGTTGATCAAAAGCTTGGGCTTAAGTAGTGGAAGCGATCCTCTGGGTCATACTGCTCCTTTCCCCTTAATGTCCAGCTTGTTACTGGCCTCTGATTGTTTGCTCAGCTGCTCCTCAGAGAAAGTGATGTAGGAATACACCAGGCTCCCAGCAATGCTGCAAAAAAGAAAAACACCATCAGGGAGGAAGGAAGGAATGGCAGATGAAAGGGAGACTGGTGTGAGGTATCACAAATCAACAGCACGTAAAATTAAAACAGAGAATATGGAATTTTCATCTACCAAAGAAGAGATGCTCCCTCATCATGGCATTAGCCACTGCTGTTGATGCTCTGAGGAAATGAATGCTTGCACATACCTGCCAACAGGAGTGCCAATTTTATACCTCCTTTCTGGAATGCAACTTGTTGAAATCATACACTTTAGAATTCTGCTTATCTTTTGACCTAGCAACCTACTCCATGGAGGAATTGTGTACATCTTCAGAGACTTATCAAGAAAGTGTTTACCACAAAATTCATAATAGCAGAAAATTAGATGAAGGGTAAATGTCTCCAAGGGGAGTTATATAAATTCATACAATAGAATATTACATATCTCATAAAATCATATAACATGAAAACAGACAATGACATCTTAAATGAAAAAAATAATCTCACAAAACATTAAATGCTGTCTAATCCCATTTAAATAAACATGAATTTGTACATCGATATGCATCAGAAAAAAAGTCTAGGAAGAACCCAAGAGTATTAATGGCTTTTACATCTAGATGGTGAGTGAGCTCATAGGTGATTTCCTTTTTTATTTCTATTTCCTGGATTTTCAAAACAAATCAGTCAAAACAAAGAAATGAAATTTTTAATAAGAATGAAAAACATACCAATTATTAAGTAAACATACAGGTCCTAGGGGATTCACAGAGTTAGCTGCTGTGTGACTAGAACCAAGTTCACAGTGGAGAGCCCTTGGCCTCAGCTGATTTCTCGTAACCCTCACTTGTCCACTGCACTGACCACCAGGGAGGGTTCACACATTAGGGACACTGATGATACTTATCTATTCTCTGTGGGGACCTCAAACCCACATAGGATACACAGCCTCCTGCCCCAGTCACTAAGTGAAAGTAAACTGGAGGAGCTCAGAGAGACACTCTAGACTGTTCTGACATGCTCTTCTGCTAAGCCTGACACCCGTGACTCTTGGGTCTCCAGCTGGCAGCCTGGCCTGGACTCTGCTTTCAGATGTGCCTGTCCTGGGTTGGGCCCACTATCTTTTGCCTGACCCCTTGACTTACAAACTTGCTTATCTGAAATTAGTTCTATTCTTCAGGTTTTGGAATGCCAGCACCATACCAGTTGCAGCAGGGTAAGAATGCCTAGCTAGCTCCTACAAACAAGGAAGGAAGATCAGGCAGCACTTAATCATCAAATTGTGACCATTTACTAAAGTCTATTACATGTGATGCATTTATCTACATCCGCCATGGCAATATTCCTACAAAGTACACTATCCCTGGCAAGGTGTTCAAGGTGAAACTGAGTTCGAGAGTCATATGATAATTTGCTGAGGGTCACAAAGCATCCTAATAATGGACCAGAATAAAACCCATATCAATCTGATTTTCTCCACTGAAACAGCTTCCTCCCTTATGGCCCCTGCTCCACTTGATAGAACAGAACCCAGTCCTTATTTTGTTCCCATCAGCCTCTATATTTCTAAGGCCTTACTCTTAGCTCTACAGAGTCCCTTGCACAGGGCTGACACTTTGTGGCAATACAGTAACTGCTGAACTGAGTATCTGTGATGGCCCAAAGAACCTGCAGAGCCTCATAAACCCAATCTTTGTGCCGGTTTCATAGAGCTTCATCTTTTCTCTTATCTGGTAGTTTTTTTTCCATTTCTTTTTCTTTCCTTTTTGGGTTTTTTTTTTTTTTTTTTTTTAAGGAATTTGATCTCTCAGACTCTTCTGGAAACTCTTCAGGTTTTCTAGTGCATTATGTAGATGATTTCCCTGTTAGCTGGGCTAAGGCGATGGCTTACTGTAGCCTTCTGGACTAAAGCTAAAAATTCTTTGAGGTTCACATGCACATCTACATGACAATTTCCCTTCACCTCCAGCCCCATCCCACCTCACAACATCCAGCCTTCTGGGTTCCCCCTCCCAGGACAACCTCAACATAACAATGCTTTCTTTATCTTCCCTGTCAAGACAATCTTTGATATTTATATTAAGCTGATTAAACCTGCAGAGAAACAATGGAGCAGTGCAGGATTGAAGAAGACAAAGAATACCCTGGAATAACCTTAAGGATGAGGCCTGGACCCTCAGGTCCCTAGCATATCCCTATCCCTAGCATAGTTAGTGTAATGAAAAGACATGGACTTTGTGGAGTTAGGTCTTGGTTCAAATCTTGAATATACTGTCAGCTCTGTGCCGCTTGGCAAATTCATTAACTTCTCTGAGATTCTATTTCTTTATTAATAGAAGTAATATTACCTATCTAGGTTTGTTTGCAGATAAAATGAGATAACTTGCATAAAGAACCAGGCCCTAACCATGGCACATGGTAAACAATCAGAAGATATATATTCCCTACTCCCTCCTTCCTGTCAGCTCCGCCTCTCCCAGACTCAGAGGGGTGAGGCACTATGGGAAGGGGGTGAGGGGGCTGGGAGGAGGGAAAGAAGAGGATGGTGAAAAGAAAGGAAAAAAGGCCAGATATGAATCTATATGAATCTGGATACGTCACTATCAAATGGTTTGGAATTAGTATCTTCTATTACTTTAAACAAACAACTTCTCAATCTACTGGCTCCATAAATATTCACATTAGATATGATGACTTCTGATACTCTGGATTTGTTATTTATACATTTGACCATCCTAAAGATTCATTTTATAAAATCTCAAGCAATCTTCCACTTGCCTAATATTGAGATCACAGCACTACCATTAATTCACTGAACATGCTGTGACAGACCCAGGTGATAAACAGAAGAAAAAGACGAGGCTCCGATGCCCTACAGACAGGGTCGAGTTAGAATACTGCAAGACTGGCTGGAAAAATGCTGAACAGCGCCGCCTCATCTGCTCTGACCGCTTCCGCTCTTCCAAAGTCACACAAACACAATCTATCTCTTCCAGACTTACAGCTCTGGACACATTTACCAGCCTCAGAGAATTAGACATCCATTCGATAAATATATGCTAAAAATGCCTTCTATATAGCAACTCCATAGCCAGAGAGCAGCGAGTCCTAAGGTCCAGACTGTGTCCATCTCCCTTTGTGGCTGCCATATCTGCTCACGTGTCTAGCCAGATAGCTCTACCTCTCCGACTAGATTCTGCCTTCTATATTCCACATGTAAAATATGTCAATCTATACCCAAACCAATGAGCCAAGGCAGTTTGACTTTTACTGCTATTTCTTAACATACAGTAATTCCTGCCAAATAACTGAAACTGAACCTCTGGGTACATTCTTCCTACACCCCATATTAACTCCCCACACGGCAGCATCTAGCGAGCCCTTTCTCATCTTTCTCACCAGCCAAGTAAAGCAGAGCTGTGTTGCCTCTATATATATCACCTTCCAGAGCTTTCCTATTTGAAAAGAGAGACACACAGAGGTGACAAAGGACGGAATAAAAGCCACATAATTATTTACTCTGACATTTACAAAGCTCTGTGATGTGGGACAAGTTACTTAAACTCTCAGAGCCTCAGTTCTGTGAAATGAGTCCATCTGTGAAACGGCAATTAGAATACTACTCTTACAGGACTGAAGTGAGAATTCTATAATTTATGCAACAAGAGGCTACATAGAATTATGTTAACTACATAATTTAAATTCTATACTTAAATTATATAATAGAAACAATAGATCATTAGGACACAGTAGGACACAAAAGACCTAATTAAGACACAGTAGACATCCAAGAGGGATAAAAATGCCAAGGCACACCACGAGCTAATGCCAGTTGCTGCTTTTCTTCATCTTCAAGGCTGCATACCCGTTCACTCAGAAAATCAAGGAGTCTTCCATATAGTAAGACTTCTTTGTCTTTGGTCATCCCAGAGAGGCCTTAACTATACTGAGTAACAAATCTTTACCTAATCCCTATTATCTGTGGGTCAGTAGAAACTCTCACAGTATCTCCTAAGTTGGGTATTCCTCCTTCCTCTGTTAGAGGCATTCAAGGTACTCACTCGGGTGCTGGCCTACTTTTCCAGTAGTACCCCTGTGAAATCTCTCTTACTCTAGCCACATTAAAGTACCTACAGCCCACCCTCCCAGTCTCCCATCCAACATCTGCATTTCTAGCTCCATGCCTTTTTCTGCTCATGCAGCACTCAATGGCCAGAACACCCACACTTCTGTATTCCATCACTCCAAATTCTACCTACGGTTCAAGGCCTCACCTAACTGTCCTTTTCTCTATGAAGTCTTTCACGCAGACAACCATAGCCTTTATGAGAGGTACCAGTCTAGATAGCTACTTTGTGACATTTGTGTGATGACAGCTGTTGAAAGCCCTCAGGAGAACGTGTAGAAATGCCTCCTCGTGGCTGTTATTAAGACCATATAAATGCCAAATGCTATTATAAATGCTTTATGATTCCTATATGAATGAAAGCCACTGGTGTTAACAATCATTTCATACCTTCCCTTCTCATTCCACCTAATCTCAACATAGTGGGCAAAGTAATCCTATTAAAACTAAATCAGATCTTGTCATTCCTTTAGTCAAAACCCTCTGTCTTCCTCTCTCTTAAAAGTAGTCCTCAATCTGTCACTCCACCCCATCTCATCTCATCCACTCTACTGCTGTCACACTGGCCTCCCTTGTTCCCTGAATACACCAGAACACTCACACTTCAGGGTCTTTTTACTTGCTCTTCCCTCCAGAAATTGATGTGGCTCATCCCCTCCATTTTTTAGGTATTTCACAAAATGTAACCTTCTCAGTAAGTGCCCCAAATCCCCTGCAATACTCCTTCTCCCCCCCCTTTCTTGCCTCATTTTTCTCCATTACTATTTATCATCACAGTTAACATTTACCACAACAAATACTTCACTCACTATAACTTCACTCATTTTTTGTCTTCTCTATTAAAAGGAAAACTCCATGAAGGGCAAGAGTTTTAAGCAG